ATAAAATAAATATGAAGCATAAAATGGTTAAGAATGAGTTTGTCACACCGTCTTGCTTTCGAAATCGTCGTCGAATCGACGGATGTAACGAGATGAATTTATAGGAAGCATCGTTGATCAGATTACAGCAGAATCCGGGACAATCAACCATCCATCTGAAATGGTATGGAGAAAAGGTGACGGAAATATTTTTGAAAAGTTCATGTACGAATAGACTGCCTCGTATACATTTAAACATATTTTGTCTGCTCCAAGACTATACACGGAACTCGTAAATCCAAAAGCGTCCCTCTCAACGGGCACTTGAATCTCCTACCACAGTGTACGACATTGGGGTCATCTACACCCTTATTACTAACCGATGGTTTTGCATAACCGTTGTTGCTGGTATGCCAAAGTTCTCCACGGGATAGCAGTCTCACCGTAAAATTCGGAGAACAAAACTCTAGAACAGCCCTAAGTTCGAAATATTTCACGCATTGGTTAACGTTTCGCATTGGTTTTGTTTAGCTGAGAGACAGGCGAAACGAAGGACCCGCATGGTGTGGTGGTGAACGCGTTACTCCCCGGAAAGGATAATAGCGCGTTCGTTCCCCACCATAGACACCTGCGGTCCAGAGTTTTGCAAATATCTCAGCAACGTTGTGGTTGTCTTTCACGCATTGTTTGGATTTTTAAAGCAGCTAGCAACTGATATCAAAGTTTTTACCGCTTTGTTGAGAAACGACGGAAGAATACCTTAACCATTGCAGAAATAGATGTTAAAGCTTCATACGTAAGCGTACGATCCATGACACCTAGCCCACTACTCCAATCACTACAAAATTAGAACTACCATATTCCCATACAAGGAAAGGGATCCACCAAACAACGAGAACTACCTACAACCTGATGATATCTGCAGCCTCCAAACGCTTTAACCAAGTTATCTTCAGCAGTAATAGATATTCTGATAAAGGAAAAAGGATGAAGCTCCCGGTTTTGACCAATCACTTAAGACGCACCATGCATTCGACACCATTAAGCACCGTTGGAGGTGATTGAATACATATTTGGTCTTTAAAATGACTCGCGGTGGCCTAGCGATGTCACGGCCCAGTGCCAATATCCTCTCAGACAAGTGTGGTGCCAATTTGCCGACCGCGAAAAGACGGAAGGCTTCGTGAGCCTTGAGCGTGGGATCGAAGCCATGTGTATTGCAGGGCGCCTCTAACCACTGCTACACGACTCTTTGAATGGCATTATACTGGAAGAAAAGCAACCATGACGGCAACCATAGTTTCGCGTAATCAGTCATTCAACCCCTTAATACTTCAGAAACCCCTTCGTGCTCCAAAAAAATAAATAGATAAATAAACTGAAATGACATGACATGGGACTAAAAATCAGCCGCAACCAACTACATTTTCTTATTTCGCTGATGATATATATATATACCTTACGACACTAACTGTTCGTCGGGCGGCGGGAATTATGGCTGATTTTAAAGACAAATATTTTACAAATGGTTCTCGGCTTAACCTAAGAGAACGTTGATAGCAAGAAACGTGCTTGTTCCTGAAAAAGGGCTTTCACTGAGCAGTAGGAGGTGAACCACCTTAAAGAAATTAGATGCACAAGTTGTGATAAGCAAAGTAGAGAATATCTGTCTTCGTGTCCAACTCCTAAACTTCACGGTCTCCACCAAGCAGCTGTTGGCGTTTCGAAAATGTCGATAAAGAGCAGGTGCTAGGAACATGTTCCATTACGGAAAAAGAGAAAGAATAGGGAATTTAGACTTACTTAGATGATCCAAAATAGGATGTACAACCAAAAATGTAGAATGAAGTGCGTCAGGTAGATCCCAGGTTTTGATGACAAATGTTGTAAAAGATACAGTATTCTACGGAATATCGAGAACATGGGAGAATTGTACAATTTCATTTTTCAGATAGTAACCGTTTAAAAAAGATTTGAAGACGAGAGAACCAGCACTTTAAACAAAATAAAACAAAACTCTGTAAAAGTTGATTATATTAGTCCTATTATGTTGGAATATTCCACATAACCAACATACCCCCCAAAAAAAACTTTCAGTTATCCTTAGTATAAATGTTCAACATTTTCTTCGAATATAATGCTAAGGGTGCGAGTGGTTAAAGGTGTCCTGCAATGCACATGTGGTCGTTGATCTGATTCCCGCCCAGGGCTCACCAACTCTTCCATGTCTCTGGGGTCGACAAAATGGTACCATACCTACCTAACTAGAGTAGCAGATAACCTGATAGCAGCACTGACTTGATACAACGGTAGGTCACTGCAATTGTTGTATAGGTCAGGTAAACATTCAATCATCTCTAAAGATGATCAATGAAGTTGAATTCATGCCACATCCTTCAAGGACTGATTGACCCCGAAAGCTTCATCCTATACTTTATTAAGGTAACACAAAGTTGATGAAAAGTTTTGTTCGGATAACGCTTCGACGTGTTCCTCTTCTTTAGATGCCACGATGATTCGAGTAAATTGTCCACAGCCATTCTTTCTCGAGATGTGGGTGGGTCACCGTGGTCGCGCCGAGTCGAATCCAGTGGAATTTCATCTTGTTTAAAAGAGCATTGCCTAGGGTTGTTCTTGATTCGAGTGGTAACCATTCTATTGGCATAAACTCAATGCGACCTCGAAGAACATAAGAGCATAAGCGCAAGAGCGAACGACTGTGGACCATAGACTTTTAATATCGTGGATCTGAGGAAGACGTAGAGGTCAGAATGTCCGCCGAATGGAACTCTTTGCCAAAAAGCGAAAGCGATTTCCGTGACGGCGAGAAGTAATGTGATTAGCCGACCAGGAATGAAAAAGTTCATCTTGACATCTATACCGGATAACATTATTTAAAATTGTTCTGATTCGATGGCTGACTTTTCGCCTTTTCGGTGACTTCGCCTTCTTCAGAACGCCTTGAAGTATTTTATGTAACGATTTCATATAATTTAGCGTCAGCTTAATAATGCAAGAAAATATTGGTAACCAATATGTATTTATTTATATGATCTTATAAACTGATCTTCTTAAGCTGATGCGAGATTGGTACAGGTCTTCGTTGTCGTTGTCGTCGTTGTTGATGTTGTTGGTCGATGGCTGACGATGGCTCGTGAGTCCCACACATAAGATCACGACTCTGAGGAAGGCGAAGTCGCCGAAACGTCAGCCATCGACCAACGACATAAACAAAAACGACAACGGCAATGAAGACCTGTACCAACCTCGCATCAGCTTAAGATCGGTTTATAACATCATACAAATAAATATATCAGCTGTCTATGCCGAGGTTTATAGAAAGTCGGTTTTTCGAGTTATTAACCAATATGGTTAACACATTCGCAACGGCCCCTATTTTCGATGAAGGAAGAATCTCATGAAAACTAATTTTTCGTATCATGAACTATCTTAAGTATCGTTACGCCTCGCGAAAGCGGAAAATAATAGCTTTTTTGGAAAGCTGTTTCCGATATTTTATAAATAAAATACGGAAGGAAACAACGCAGGAGTGATATAGATATTGAGACTTGTGCAACAAACACATTCTAGTCCACTTCCTATCAGCAACAGTCTCCTTAGTAGTCTATCTTACAGATCTTAGTAGAAAATTACTGCAGGATCCACAGAAAAGAAAAAACTTACCAATATTTGCAAATTATAGTATGTAGAAAATAGCTATAGTTTCTTTTTTTTTTCTTGATCGTCTCGACGTTGTCCCCGAAGCTTATACAAAATCTCATGCAGCAAAGCATTGCAAGAGAAAAAACCGGACACCAAATGAATCATGTGAGTAACACCGGGCAAAGTACTGTCTGCATTTATGGGTCACGTAGCACTCATATCGTCCAGAATGTGTAAGAAGTAACAAGGTAGAAACTCCGAGAGTACGGAACATTTTATGAGTCAGAGGAAGAATAACCCAAAAAAACTCTTAATGCGGAAATTTTCAAATTTTACAGGAAAAAAAAATTTCGTATTTCCATAGCACCAATCGGAATACGAATAAGTTCCGTGTTTTTTATCAATGTGCTTTCTTGACTACTTCACTAGACGGTTTTATGGAACCTACTTGCATAATAAACAACCGCAACAGAAGCAGCACCAACATCCAAAAAAAAAAGTCATCGTGAACATTCCCAAGAAAATGGTCAGCTCTTCGCGAGTTTTTCCTAAAGTATTAATATTCAATTGAAGCTTAATTAAAGCTTTTCTTCACTATTCGAACATTTTCATATAATTATCAGGTCCAAATCTCGTTATCAGCTAATTCAACCAAGCCACTTTGCTAAATTGAGGAAAATATTGATCGCCTCGGAATCAACTAAAATCAATACTGACCCTTGATTATAGGCTCATTAATCTCGTCTTCAGAGTCTAACAGAATCCGAATTGTCATTACTATGGCCAGGTTCAGCAATGTGACCTCAAAAAGCAACCTTGTTTTGAAAAATAACTTAACCATCTTTTCATAACCTATGACTTGGATCGTAGGAACTCTTGGAGATGTCTCTAACGTTTTGCTACAGCTACGTCATAACGATTCTCATGAAGACTGAATTCACTCAGTATGCAAAAATAGTGAAAGATGGCGCTCGATGGACTATTAAACCACTGTTTAGTTGAAGCACTTTTCTAAAACAAATATAAGAACATACCACTGATACAATAAATATTAAGCATCCCCAACTTTCTGGTTTTCCTGATTCCCTTTCTTGAAACATGAAAGAATTATTCGGCTAGTTTTAGACAGGACCAAAGACCGAACAAGACAGAGGTTATAGAGAGGTTCTACACCACTAAGCGCCTGTTCGTAACCGATACAGTAACATGCAAATTTTGCGCATAACCTTCATGAATTGTAATCCGTTTTCGATGACATACAGAGAGACCAGAATTGATTGCCTTTATTTAAAAACACGAATTTAATAACATGCAATAATAAGAATGTGTAGAAACAGACTACATTAATGACATAGTGCCTAAACCCTCCTAATTTTACGTGGTCTTGGACCAAGTTCCTTAAGTGGCGTGTGGTCTGTGATGCTTACTACATTAACTCCAGCAACCGTTAAGCCTTTCACACATGTCATACGTCCTGGACCAAGACCTTTCACCTGAAGACAAAGCATTCCGAAGTTATTCACAAAATAAGCACATATTGTCCTTCAGCTTATGTGCAGAATTTGAAAATCAGATAAAATTGAGCTACCTCTACTCGAACTGTTCGAACTCCTCTCCGAACCAACCGTTGCCCAGCCGCCACTCCAGTTGTTTGACCGGCAATCGTGGTCTTTTTACGTGCATGTTTGAAGCCTTCGAGACGACACGACGTGTAAATGATTACATGATTCTTGAAACACAACTTCTGTGTGGAACGAGCAAGTTCTTCTCGAGTACCATTAAAATCTCTACCTTATTATCCATAACTGTCACCAAAGTATTATTCTTCGTAGCTTTAATATATGCAATAGGCAATTCGCAGTATGGAATGCCATCAAACTGAATTTTCATCGTTTCTGCGGTAGGAAAACGTGATTCAATGCCATGCAAATTGACCGTAGTGAGTTGTCCTGCACCTGCTGTGCCTTCCATAACTTCCTAAGATACGAGCTAAAAGTTTTGACAACTAATTCAACTGCACCCAGAAATCCGTAGACAAATGGAATTGAGGACCACAGGACATACTTTAACCGCTCCAACAGTTTTTGTTCCTGCTCGATGAGCATCTCTAATACTGTCGAGAAAAGCAGATGACGTTGAAATACTTCGAAACTGAAAAATAGAGCACGGTGAACTCCCACCTAAAAACAACCTAGAGAAATCGCACAGCAGCCTCCGCATCATAGCAGACATCTACTACCTAAAGAAAATAATTTTTCATAGCAGAATCAACGTAAAAAACAAACTGCAGACAGAGATCCGCCCACCTCTTGCCGAACAACAATGTTATAGTCCTCAGTTCGAACCAATCAATACCTACGAGAAGCGTAGTTTTCTTTCTAAAGTTACACTCTTTCCAACTAGTATACTTAGCACAGCATAAAAACAAAGAAATTTCCAATTAAAAGGGAAATATAGCTATTCCACAATGGTCCAATTAACATTTAACCATTGGAAGTAAGTCATAATTGCAAATGGAAATCGATACTTCAACCAAGGAAAGAGGCCGCGGAACACAAAAACACTGCATACACCTCTAAAGAATTTATTATTGAAAAAAACCTAAAAAAAACCACATGAGATCTCTGTAATTTGTATACATTTCAAAGAAGACCTAGGAGAATCAATAAGGCAGCTTGAAAATAAAGCACGAGATAGCAGTTTTCCACCAGTACTACCTCCATATATAACTGCTGTATTCGAAGGCTCCGCCAGCCGAAAGAACAATGTCTTCGTCATCACTCAGGACCTTAACTTTACGGGAAATGCAGCATGTTTATGACAAAATTTGGAAGAATATAAAAAACTCACCATATAGTTATCGACCGTTAAACACCGTTGCGATTGCTAGAAAAATGACAAAATTGCAAAGAAAGTGTCAAACCTCCGCTTAAAAATATGTATACCTCGCATGATGTGCCAGGCCCAGTAATTGATGTTTCATCGGCTGTTTGATATACGCTGCCTATAAACTAAACAGTAATACAACAAGAAAAGTCATGAAGAAAACGACTTTTAAAAACACACTTGGTGGAAAACTAGCTCAGATATAGGCGCAACGAAGAAGCAGCACGGTGTGATGGTGAACGCGTTAGCCCCGGGAAAGGGTAATAGCGTGTTCGCTCCCTACCGCAGACACCGACGGTGCAGAGTTTTGCAAATATCTCAGCATCATTATAGTTGTCCTCGCAACCGTTTACCGCCTCATCGTGGCTGGGAGGTGTTCCTGGGTGCCGGGGTGCGATGTACAGCTGGGAGATTTATCTCCTCCGCAGAGTCTCCCAAGCTGAGGAGTCCGACGTTTCCGTCAGGAAGCCTAGCTAAGAGTAAACCAATACCAGGATCCACCACCGTCCTGGTATCAAAACTAATCGGATGGCAGCAAATCTTCCTCTGATCCACAAGGGTGGCGACCTGGAGCAGACTTTGGCCAGACTGACATCGGGACCCCAGGGAAACGCAGTGGCTAAGCCAGCAAAACTCCAAAAAAAATGGAGAATATGCTGAGGCGTGTACAACGAATTAGGACGGGGCGTTTAAGTACAAGTCATTACGTTTGCATTTCAAATAATACCTTGCCATGAACAATTGTAGTAGGCAACAAATAAAAGGTCAACATACTCGATAGTTTCCGGGATGGATAGCCATGATTACTTATACGACTTGAAGAGTTGGAGACGTGGCCAATCATTGGTCTTAGTGTCTTCAGGCGTAGTAAAAAATAATGGAGGCTGAATGGCGACATGGAATGGGACGACTCCTATATAGAACTGGTTAGATCAAACAGATAAAAAATGCGATATAAAAATATGGAAAAAACCAGTATTTGATTCCTTAGCGAATCTATCTCAAAAAGAAGCTTTTGTAGAACTTCTTCTCTAGACAGCGCAGTTCCTTTTGGAATGGAACTTCTTCGAAAAGGTGTTGTTTCTAAATAGCACCAACTTTTATGTCCATATGACTAAAAGGTCTATAACATGAACTTTTAGCGTAAGAACGGTGGTCTAACGCCAAGAAAAAAACAACGTGATACCCAAAATACCTTGATCTTTCGACGTTGATTGATACCGAGCGTCGGCAATACTGTCCACATCGATAACCTCAGCTATAATAAAACTTAAGAACTATAAAGCCCTATCTAGCAATTCGAAGCTAAGTGCTTCTCAAGAAAAATGTAACCGGGATCTATGTGATACCATTGAAGACAAAATATCAGGATAATTGGAGACCCATTCACTCTTACCTTTACTGTCGCCTTTATAAGTACGAGCATCCGATAGCGTAGCTTTCTTAGTAGGCGAAACCATGCTTCGGAAGGGCGCATAAACCCCATCAGACTCCTCATCATTGTCAAGTGATACACACTAAACTGATCACAATACAAGTGAGGGGCATTAGTGCAGGTAAAAGTGATTTGGGATTAAAATAGCAAAATTCAAACCAAGGAATTTTCCTGACACTGACTGTCTCGAAACTCTTTTTCAGCCTCAAGAACCATTTCATACGGGACAAATTCGCCCGTCTTCAACCGAATTTTCGCCGCAAACACGTTGGGTCGTGGCCAGTTCTAACAAAAGCAAGGATTTAGAGAATTGAACATTCGCGTTGAAAATGAGGAAAAACGAAATTGCTAATACCAAACATATTTCAATAGGGAAAGACCTGCTGCTCAGCAATTTCATCCGTAGTCTTCTCATCTAGTGGTCGAATTCGGGGAACTCCTTCTCTAACAATTCCGACCATATCAAGCAATTCTTCTTCCCATATTTCGCAAGTGGTTGGGATTCCCTCAATCTCCCATCTATAGACTAACAGTGATCAAAACTAAACTAAAGATAATGTTCAATAATAACTCACTTCTTTGTCGAGGTAATGTTAATGGTCCGCAACTCCTCATTATCAACAAGGCATGCACGCTGCGCATAAATATTTTCATTGGCATAGGGAAGGAAGTGCTCTAGAATAAAGAAAATCTTGCAATGTCTTCTTCGACAAAACCACTATAGTGTAAAAAAAGTACACACGAAGACCAAGGCAAAAAAACCAAGCTTAGTCCAGTATCGCATTAAAGTGGTCCTTAAAAACTAGAAGGACAATCTCCTTAAACTCCATTTTGAGGTAAGCACATATCTACTGCAACACTTGTAAAACCTGCAAATCCGTTAATCAAAGAGTAACTCGGGTACACCAGAGCTAATAATAATCTCGAAGTGCCATACTACCTAGAATGACATGAAAAGCATAGAATTCTTGGCATTAAGCACTTTTCCAATACTGACTTTTCCGCAGATAGATCAAATTCTGTGCCGCATCCTTTTCTCTACACGACCTGTCCTTCACACGTATAGTGCAGATCACAGTACTTCTTGCATTCGATTCGTTTCCCAGAATCCATTATCCGCTTATGCCTTTGGACTAACGTATGGTTCGACCATTTCTTGAGGAATATCGGTCTTTCATTGATATGAATATCAATAAAAACTGGTCAAGTTGATCCTTCTTAAACTCCTGGGATAGCTGGGCTAGAGCGTTTCCACATCGACATAACAGAGCGATCTATTCCAGACAAGTATCTTGCAGTCGATGACCGCGTTCTATACATTCAGTTTTTCTAACAGAAAAGTTTTCTTATTTAACCAGCGCTTGCAGTAGAGTGGTTAGAGGTGCTCCACAAGGCACACATGCTCGTTGAATCATACCAACGCCACTGGAAAACTAAACCTTCCATCTCTCTGGTGACGCCACTTAGTGTCAGACTAGTTTGAGAGGATAACAAAATTGACCAAATTCATGTGTAAGTCTCTGAAATTCATTCGATAAGCCAAAGATGCATTGAATCACTTTTACCACGCTCAATGGAATCGAATTGGTGGTCCATTCCTATTGGATTGATCAACACCAAACACTTTATAATTCTTATCCTCTACTTAAACGACAGTGCGAATTTGTAAAAGCCGTGCGGATTCTACTATTTTCTCAATTCTTTCATTGTATTACAATTGTCAGCCATGGAAGGGATCAGATTACGGTGTTCGTTCGACTGCTGCATTAGGACCTGTTATTTTCTCTTTTTACTCCCATGGGGAATGCTGATTGAGCAAGATTTTCCTTCTAACCTCAAAACAGCTGCATTAAAGAGCTCTCAAGTTTCACTGAAGCCTGCTGATCTTTATACAGTCATAGATGCATCAACAAATTAAGCGACCTCAGTAATCCAGATACACAGCGTGATATTTAATATAAGTATTTATGTACGCAGGGGGAGGATAGCACAACAGTAGTGATGCCGATCCTCATGAGCACGGTGCTGGTTCGATCCTGCCTCGGCCTCATCAAAAAACCACGCTCTGCAATCACAATGAGACCGCTGTAGTCCAGCGATCTAACGACTCCACGGAGAATCGAATCGACCAGCATTCTATAACATTCAACGTGAAATGAAAATCTTCAATCAGTAGCCGAAGCCTCACGTAGAAGTGGGAAGATCCTCAATGATGGATGCGAGGAAATGAATCGAATGCGAGAAGTGCTGGGATCCGCACAATAGGTCTGAAGGATGGGTGGTATAAATTGATTAAAGAGTACGTACACATACATGTGTATATATATGCATATATATAGGCATATATGTCTTGGCATGTGAGTATACATAAACACATACTTGTACATAGATATACAAGTATATACACACGATATAGACGAATAAAGAGTTCAATGATATCCATTCGTGTCAGTCAAAGATTAAATGGACTATAGGTGATATTCTAGCCCAAAATAAATAGAATCCTATTTCTTTACGAGCAATGTCACTCTCGAACTACTAATGAAACAAAATTCTTTTCACTGACACGTAATAGATGAAGAATTATGGAGGCAACAATCAGTACTCCATAACAGCTCGTCCATTTTCTATAGTGGTCCCGCTTGATAAATATGATCATAGCTACTAATTAGATAAGCATTCTAACTTAAAAACGATATAACTAACGTCTCAGATAGTCGATAATGTCAGCATTCGTTTCGCCTTCCATTTGCCGTTGAGCTATTATAGACTTAATAATCGGAGGAAGCCGCATTCGAACGTCATGACCATAGTGATCTCCACACATCTCTATTGATACACGACTAGAAGAAAAGAGACTAAAAGGAATGTGATCACGTACAATGGGACATGCTTCGTGGTACAAACACCAAATCGTAAAAAATGCGTAGAATTTTCAAAACTAAAGTATTAAATGGCCAAAACGTATGATATTGTTGATATTACTCAAATGAGCAACCGTGAAGATGAAAACTTATACGGATACCCTTAATATAATTGCAATAATGTTCGAAAAATAACCCGTCAACATGCTGAGTTCCATGAATAAACGCAGTACATGTATGTCCCATACGATACGGTCCTATGCGATCTCTCTCACTCCCAGTGGCATTACTAGAGTTCACGAAACCGCTCCTAAAGATTGGGAAAATCAACAGCCAGCGAACGATTAAAAGGTAAACTAACCTATTGCAAGCCATAAATATACCCTTTCCACGTTGACGACGTTTAGATCCGGACTTGTGACGGAAATGTGCGCCTCCTTTGAGTTCAAGCCAACGAAGGAACCGCTAGAGAATTCGAACATTCGTTAATATATTAATCTCAAATTAGAACACTTCTTTAGCAATCAAGCTGGCTAACATTCACCATACATGCTTTCTACGAAACGTGAATTCCTAAACCAAAACCTTAAGCGACACGCACTAAAAATCTGCTAACCAATGCACTCGGTAAACTAACTTCATCTAACATCAAGACAGGATGAAATTAAAAAATAAAAACTAAATTTAAAATCAAAAAGGCTTCTCTGTGGAAGTTGAAGATGTCGAGAAGATGAAAAGGATAAAAAAGGACAAGGCACCAGGTGCTGATCAATCCCTGAGGGATGCGCCATGCATTCGACTTCATTAAGAATCATTGTAGGTGATTCAATGCATATTTGGCCTTTACAATGACTCGCAGTGGCCTACGAATATATTGAGCTAGTGCTGCTATCCTATCAGACAGCTCTTGTACTAATTTGTCGACCCCAAAGAGAGGGAGAGCTAGGTGGGCCTGGGACGCGGTGATACCGTGTGTATTGCAAGGGCCTCCGACCAATGCGCTACACGCGCCTCCATCGAGACGTTAGCAGAACAAATACTGGTAAGAACCTCATATTAGCCTATCGATGAAGTAAGGTACATTGAATTCTTGTGCCGTGGTTAAATGGAAGTCAGCTTACAACAGAAAGACCAAAGTGGGCAATAAACCTGCCTTGAATTCATCCATAGTGCTAAACGTCAGCTCATGAATTTGTGGATGTACATCATGTTCGATGCTCAAATGTTCATGAAACGATGTTCTTGTTACGAACTCCATAAAGCACACACCACAGCAATAGTATCTTCTTTTATTGGTATCACCGAACGTCTTATCTTTGGAGAGCCCAGGACGGCACTAGAAGTCACCAAATGAAATCCAGAACACTAAAGTGAGAGTGCAATATAAGCCTAATAAAAAACAAAACGAACTCACCCCGTTAGTTCGATGATAATCTATTGTCCGAAGTGCTACCATCTTTCCACAACCATATGGACACCGATTTCGTACACCGGCCGTTGGATGGCGTCGACCCACATTATCGATCACCACCGACTCATGCTATAAAGAAACTATTCATCAACAACCAAAACGATGCCGAGATAATTGCAAAACTCGAACAACAGGCCAGACCTAACCACGACTACCGTTTAGGAGGGTCTTGCGTGTTATATACTGAACCACTGATGCACTCGTTTAGCCTTTCAGCTAATTTTCTACCTAACGGTGCCATCGGCAATCACCCGTCAAAAAATTGAACCCCAGGAAGGGTGATCGCGGTTCGATCTAGCCTAGAGTCCGAGTTTTACTAACATCTCAGTATCACTGTGGTTGTACTTCACATCATACCCTGCGTTAAAAACTAAAATAAGCAGCAAAGAAACGCTCAACATTATTCATCAAAATGGCAACTTTTTATTTACTGCCTAATATTAATATTCACGACGGAATATGGTGTGAAATAGAACTACTACGAAGCCACAGGAGGGGGTAATCGCAGGTACAATCTGGCCTGGAGTCCATGTTTTGTAAATATCTCAACATCATAGTGGTTGTATTCATCAACGTATTACTCGTACAGAAGCAGAAAAGCAAATAAGTACTAATTTATGAAAGTGGAAGTTACGGTAGTTCCAATAAAGTTTCTTTTGTCAGAAATGTATGGGGAAATAGATTACGTGCAGATGTATAATGCTGTTAAACTTGCTATTTACCCACAACGATGCTGAGATATTTACAAAACTCCAGAAAGCAGGTGTGAGCGATGGAGATCGAACCCACTACTACGCTTTCCGGGAGCTAACGTGTTCACTACAACGCCATGCGAGTCTTTCGTTTCGCCTTTCTCTCAGCCGTTCTAACCTATAGGTGCTATCAGCAATATTAGCACTATTCGCTATTTAGCAATCATATTAGTAACAAGACTAAACAGAAAGAAATATTGGAAAAAATGAACCAACCTTCACGTCCACCAGCTCGTAACCCCCCACATCGAGTTCCTCGATCGCTCCGATCGTCTCGCGGAGTCCCTGTGCAGTCATTGCGTCCTTCAGGCAAGGTGCTCTCCGTATTCACCACGGAAAACTGCGCCCCGTTTGAGCATTTCCGTGTGGGTCACGCGAAAACTCGTCCATCCAGTATGGGTTGATTGTCACAAGGCCATTTAATTATTATTCCATTAGTCATCGGAATCGTCCAAGTAGGAAGCAGTAAATATGTACTATTCCTTCTTAATGACAAACTTACTTGCCCAAGTGTTTCAAAATATGCCGTATTTCTCGCTTGGGGACTTTATGAGTAGGTCTGGTAACCAGTTTAGTGGGTTTCCCGTCCAACACTTGATTCTTGATCTTGTTCACTGTTCTTATGCACTTGTTCTTCTCTCACTTCTAAAAAGCGTTGCGGATTATGTGGTACTTCTAGTGTATCGTTCTAGTCCTCATCTCTTTCCGATGTACTAAGTAGTAGCTTTGAATTGTTCCTGTGGGATTTCCTTGTCCTTTACCACTAAGTCACAACTCTTCTTGCTTTACAATGGCGAAAGTCCATTTGTATGAAGCTTTTTTTTTCAAAGTATATTTTAAACGTGGAGAACATGTTCTCTGATTTTCCATCAGGGATCATGTTTCAAGCAGAAAATGGTTGAACAACCGGCACTGCGTGCAGTAGGACACAGGAATGGATTGCTGCTGCCGCGCTCGTGTTCAAAAACCTTAAGAACCTAAATTTCTTCTTTTTGCTCTCTAGAACCTTTCCAGGTATTTGAAGGCATTTGAAATTTCGCAACGAAAGCGGTACATTACAGAATATATGCAGATATGTACTTGGATGAGGCCCGTTTCTTTTACTGTTTTTAGCTTCTGGATACCCACGTATAGCTTACTCAGCTCTGAACGTGGAGGCGGTGTGTACTCATGGGTAGCTTACCAGTCTCTCCCGGAACCTACAGGCTACCGGTGATGTACTTGTATACTTGGATGGCCCTTTTTCACTGGTCGTGGGGGCCCCAGCATAAGTCCCACTTTCTCGGAGTTTTGTCGAGATCAGCCTAGCCTATGTCTGCCCCAGGTGGTCACCACCACAGCCGGTCGCCGCCTTTGTAGATCAGAGGTTGATTTGTCACCATGCGACTAGTTTGACACCAGGATGGTGGTGCGGTAGTGGATCCTGGTATTGGTTTATTCTTAGCTGAGCTCTGGTATTGGTTTACTCTTAGCTGGGCTCCTTCATGGAAAACGCCGGACTCCTTCTCAGCTATGGAGTGCCTGCTGGGGGGTGAATGTCCACAACGTACATCGCAGTTCAACACCCAGAAACACCTTCCAACCACGATGAGGCGGTAAACCGTCGCGAGATATATATGCAGTAGTTACTGATGGTGTCGATCAGGAAGCAAAGGCGCTACTTCGATCCTCTCATCAACGTTCTCCTCCAATCCACATGCGAACGCCTTAGGCTGGCTATTTCCAAGATTGCAAGGAGAATCGACTGGACCAGCATTTTACGACATTCATAATGAAGACGAAATTCTAAATCACTGGCTGAAGCAGCACACAAAATATTCGAGGACCATTGTGGATGGTGGATGTGACGGTAGCGAATCGAACGAAAGTGCTGGGATCCGTACGGTAGATGTGATGACGAGTCATTAAAAAAGGATTATCTTATGAATGAACATATGAACATAAAGATATCTTTTACCTTTTACCTACAGCAGAAGCTCCAGCTTTCAGATGGGAGATCAGACATTGCTTAGTAAAAAGAACACGTCTTATTTTATCGTTCTGATGGTTTTCTGTCGTACAAACATCTAAGAGTTTCCCTAGGAAGTGGTTGATGCAGTCGTTGAAAACATGGGAGATGTTCATCGAGTATCACTTCCTCTACACCACTGATTTATGGGATCTTTAAATGAAGATTTATGCGTGAATTCCTTTAAAACAGGATGAACCTCTACATCGGACTATAAAAACGGCTATCAATTAATCGTTGTCGAAGTTTAAACAGCTGTCTAGAGAATTCATCTCCTGCTACATATATAAGCCCTAAGAAGTTTTGGTCCAATGAAGGAGACTTTAACAACTCTTGATTGCCTGATAAGTAAGTCGTAGTATTGTTAGACTAACACGGGGTTGGTAATAGGTCTTGTTCGGGTAACGTTTCAACGTCTTCTTCTTCAGAGGTGGATTGATCCGAGCCGATGGTCGACAGGTGGTCATCTCAAAGACGTGATTGTTCGTCTTCGTATCGAGCCTGAGAAGTAAGTCACCCGGAGGATTACCGTGCAGATTTCTTTTTTAAAAAAAAGGACGAAGTTCACGGCGTTGATCAATCTCTAAGGCATGCACCATGCATTCGACTTCACCAAAGATCTTTGGGGGTGATTGAATGCATATCTGGCCTATACAATGGCTCGCAGTGGCCCAACGATGTATCAAGGTAGTGCCGCTATCCTCCTAGACAAGTCTGGTACCACTTTGCCGATCCCGGAGGAATGCAAGGCTTAGTGCGACTGCGGCGCGGGATTGAACCCATGTGCATTGCATGGAATCTGTGACACACGCCCCTCAATTTGTTCGTCAGTGGTTGAAATGTAGTGGTTCTCGTGAAATGTACGGGTTATTCTCTAATTGGTTCGATCACTACGTACGGTCAAGCACCGAAAGACGTACCGAAAGACGTAGTGACGTCGCGTTGTCCGAGTTGTCGTCGTGTCTGTCGCGCGGCGCTGGTCGTACGGCGGATGGTATTGATTCGCCGGCCGTCGGTTGTCGATGTTTTACTTGCATTTTGAAGTCGGGCGTTGTCCATGTTTCCTTAAAGTTCAGATTTTCTTCCAGAAACCTATAATAATCCCTATTTTCTGCGTAATTAATTTCTTTAAAATCCTACAATGTCCACGTAGTGTATGGAACCGCCTTTTTCCCTACGCTAGCATAACTCGACCGATAATTCGATCGATAACCCCGTAAAGTAGTGAGGCTTTGTTGTTTACGTCGTCCCACATATACTCGTGGTTTAGTCTAAGTGGTAGTGGCTACTTAGGATAACGTAATGATTGGAATATACGAAGCATTCGCTTACATCTCGTTTGTGTTTTCTTCTGTTAGCTAAAGTTTTTTGAAGACCCAAGGATTAGGGGTTAAGATCTAAGAATTTAAGGATAGCTAAGTAATTCTTTGAACTTCAAGTTTATGCTGTGCATTAAAAACTTTAGCCAAACACTGGCATTCAGCAAGCTACCGAAATAGGCATTTGGAAATGTCACTGGAGATTGTCAGTAGTTAAGTGACTAAGCTTCCGAGCGTTGTTCAGTTCTCCAACTTGTTGTGTTTGTTGAGGAGATATATGGTGAAGTAATTGCTGAATGCTGTTGCTGAAAGGGGAGGGATTCCTGCCGTCATTGGAGATATTGAGGATACTATTGTTGGACTTCTTCCTGGAAGCGTTGGTGAGCTGAATAAAGCTCAGAAACCTAGTTAATTATTGACTAACTGGTTGAGCATCATGCCTTTCTTCTAGGCTTTTTGTAAAGAACTCTGACCATCGGGTTGGTGGTCTTCCTGCACTACGCTTGACATCTTGGACAATGCAGTCACTAACGGTTGCGAGTTCCACAGTAAAACAGAATTTGTAGGTACTAGAAATTACTATTTATTTTTACTCATTTTCATGTCCAAAATTGGCTGCTCGAAAGTAGTAGAGTTTCACAAGCTTATAGAAGTGGTTAGAATAAGAAAGGTTTTCCTTAGTTATGTGTTAAACAGAGAACCCATAATTTCTGTGAGCGCGTTGCGCGACGAGGCGGATAGCGTGCGGATGCTTAATCTATTTTCTATGCCGTGAAGTCCTTTCATATTGGTTGCTTTCCATAAATCATTGTACAGCCAAACCCACGTCGCAGCTATCTTAGTAATCTATAGGTATAGAGTTATAGACTAATGTAGCCGTGTCCTTCTAACCGTTTCCCGCATCATCGTGGCTAGGTGTTCCTGGTTGTCGGACTGCGATGTACAGCAGAGGGGTTTCATCTCCCAGCCAGGATCTTCCAAGTTGAGAAAGAGTCCAATGTTTCCATCAGGAAGCCTAGCTAAGAATAAATCAATACCAAAATCGACCACCGTCCTGGTATCAAACCAATAGCATGGTGGCAAATCTCTCTTTGATCCTCATGGGCGGTGACTGCCGAGTGGTGGTGACGACGACCCGAGGAGAGCTTTGGTCAGGCTGACCCCGGCACGCGAGGGAACCACAATGGCTAAACTAGCGAATAACCGGCTAAATGGAAATTCTGAGGGGACCCACACAGACAAGGAGCCATCCAAGTATTCAACTAAGAGTAGCCACGCGTCTCTGCAATTGATCATCGTGGTCCATAACTCATACTAATGCATTCCTGTGAAATTTGTTGGTTCACCGACCAAGTGATATTGATCTCCTTTCGAACTTCTTCGTTTTCTTCCTAACTTTATTTTTTCTTTATGTGTTCGCGTTTTTCTCCTTATATCCTCTGGAGTTCAGATATACATAGTTCTTGTTAAACAAGTGCATGCTGTCTTCTCTTTTGCATTGAAGCCGTTTGTTTTTCTTCTTTTCCCACTGAGGTGTGATCTCTTCAAAAACTTATTTCAGATAAGTTGAAGTTATCTCTAAAATCTTACTAGTTCTTCCACCGTTGCAGTAAGACAATGGCATTTCCTTCACGTTTCCCAATGCCACCATTCGGTTAGTTGTTTATGGGCGTTTTTTTGTTCCTAATAATAGTTCTTTGGTGATTTAGCAAAATGCTTCTTTCCGTTCACGCTCTTTGCCTCACTAGTTTTACTTTGTAGTTTTGCTGATTTTGAAAAATCTTACTCAGCGCTGTTTCCATAACCTTTTATAGTGGACCTTGTAGTTTCTAGTAAACACCGGTCCTTAATTTCCGTTTTCGAGAAGCTCGTCTACCTGCTAGTTAATTTTATTCAGTCGCCAGAGCTACTCGCATGAGGCAAGTGTTGTGTGCGGAATGCTGCAGTTGTCAGAGTCGCTTACATGAGAGTCCGGGAAGTATCGATTTTTGCTATCCCATCCTCCAAACCTTGCTAAGAAAAGGGGTGCTATATTAACACGCCTCTTCGCTCGCTAGCTTCACCTCGATTCCTTCACCCAATTTCTTCAGAACACTTATCTTTTGGCATGTTTTCACTTTTTGGCCTGGAAAACATTTTGCTCTCTGGTAAGTGGTCTGAAATTTGGCTATGCTAGTTATTTCCTTTTTCTTGGTCATATCGACCTTTTATTTTTGTTTCCATTTCCTTCACTTTGAAAACTTTCTCACACTCGAGACTCGGTTTCTCTTTCCAGGCTTTCCTCCACAGCCGCAAATCTTCTTCAATCCTATTGGACGTGGTTTTATACCACCCCAGGTGAGCAAAGCATGCAAAAGAAAAAATAGCTTTAAGTAAAGAACCGTTTTGAAAACTGTAAGTGGAACGTCTCTTCTTTCAGATTCAAATAGCCCCAGTGAAGCAAAAACCGGTGACAACAGTATTTGTTGGGAATATTTCTGAAAAATGCAGTAACGAATTCATGCAGCAAATGTTACAGGTGCTTTCACTAGTGGTGGTTTCTGCTCTATAAGTTAGGAAGTTTTTTACGGCCGTTGTTCCAGGAATGTGGTAAAGTGACCACATGGAAGCGTATTCAAGGTTCGAATGGGAAGTTCCAGGCGTTCGGATTTTGTGACTTTGAGGAGCCGGAAGGGACTCTAAGAGCACTAAGAGTGTTAAATGATTTCCAAATTGGAGAGAAAAAGCTAGTAGTTAAGGTAGCTAACTGATATTTCACTTTGCAAGACTTTTACACCGATTTGCTAACATTATTCATTGTCGTCATTTTTTATTTGCTGTCTATTCTTTTGTTCATGGTAGCATGTGGTGTGAAATATAACCACAATGATCCTGGGTATTAGCAACACGCTTGACCGCAGCTGTCTGCGGCGGGATGGATCCTGCCATTACCCGTTCCTAGGGCTCCTGAGGAGATTCTTAATTGTTTTTCCTAACGTTTTACTGCTTTTACTGTCTTGTATTCAGGCTGAACCTAAAGTCCGTGAAGAGCTCCGATCATGGGCTATACAAAACCGGAAGGATAATGGTAAGATCTAGATTTTATACCAATTTTAATTATCATTATCACCATTGCTATTGTCATGATTATTATTGTCATTATTATTATTACTATTGTTGTTATTATCATTATTACTATTATTATTACAATTGTTATTACTTGGTCACCTCTGTGAATATAACGGAACAGATTTGTAAGAGCGGATCGAAAGCCATTTTTGGTTATGAATTTTTATTTTGAGTGATAAGTCATAGTTACAAGACATATTTTTTGATCTTTGCTAAATATTTTTGATTTTCCTTGTTTACATAAACCCTCTGTAACTTTGTTTGCACAAATCGTATGTCCACGTATGTCCATTGGTTATATTGTTGCTCACAAAATTGTTACCGATCATTTTTCTCATGCGATTATTTTATTTGCGCTAGAACATGAAATGCTGTGATCGTGTAAGGTAGGAATAAATTCTAGAGTCAAAATCTTTATCATATCCATCGATTCTTAATTCTAAAAACGATTAATTTATCATTTAGGAAAACCAGAACTTCACCTGAAGGAAGATGAATTACCAGCTGACGACGACGATTTGAAAAAAGATGAAGAAGTTCGACTAAAGATTTTGGCCTGGATTGATTCTGATCATCCTCAATTGGTTACATTAGCAGAAGGTGATGCATTTTCTGGTTACTAGAGTTTATCTCTATTTTCTAAGTGTTGTAATAATGTATATTTATTTATAGATGGAGAACTTTCAGACAAGGAAGGAAAGGATGCTAAGGTACTGCTTAGCTTTGTTTAGAGCGAAATTCGTGCGTAACATTTTATTCATAAAGTGCTATTTCCACTTTCAGAAGGACAGGGATAAGCAGAAAGACGAGAAGAAACGTGAATCCACAATAGACAGTAGAAAGGTGGGATTACTGTGAATATTCATGGGAATTTTTTTGATGAACGCGGCAGCTTTGAGAGTTTCTGGGCTATTTTATATTTGTTTTATTAAAATCCTACCTCCACAATAGCCTACTTCTTTTTTACATTGTTTCTTCACATCTTCGACGAAGCTCTCCAATGAAATAGAAATGGATCGTTCAATCACCTAAAATCGGTTCACCTTCACTGACCCCACGTTTTTGTTTTTGTATACCAACGTTGTTGACTTATTACATGTCATTTTTTTGGTATTTGTGGTTTAGTCAGTCGCGCGAGCTGTTATATCTGTAGGTGGCAAGACGGATTGCCCTATGCGAAGGTAAGTTGACCGATTAAAATCTCCTTCGTTTACCAATAATACGACCTACTACTGCTGCTATTAATGTATTATTATTATTATTCGTCTGTTGTCCGTCCGTGCTCTCACATATGTATAAAAGCACATACATACAAGCCGCTCTTGCTGTCTCTGTCCGGTTTTTCTACGTGTCTCATACATATAACTAGCACATGAAATCTGAACCTCCCGCACGGAAACTCTGAACTGCTGTGGAGGGCGGATTTCGTGATTTCCGCTTCATTTTTGCATGTGCCATGATCTGATGAGATTTGTTTTCGTGATTTGAGGTCAGTTCCTGTGGTTTTTTTATAATCTATTTCGAATTCAGGTGAAAATGTCGCCCAATACGAACTTCCATAAATGGTATGTGATGTGCTTAGTTTGCCAATGTTGTGTGCTGATTCTGATTCGCATTACTCAACCCCTTATTCCACCCTTTTGTTTGCTTGCCTGTTCTAATGCGTAGTACTGTTTTCTTCAGGTTACCTCTGTCTGTCTGTAACTGCAGCCACATGTCCGTGTAGTATCATGATCTCAATGGCGTAACTTGTGAGACTGTGTGATTTATTCAGAACACATGCTATAGTGGTGCATCCTCTTTATGCCAATCAACATCATGGCTCTAGGCTCATAAGTACACGCATGTTTATCCTGCTGGCTTGTTGCACTCCTAATACGATAGCCTGATAGCCTACATACACATTTGAGCTACATGCACACAGATTGTCTACGCTCAACACTTTCAGATATCAGACGCCGGTACGATAGCGGATCGGTGTGAGTGCATACAGTGTTTCATATTTATGATCAATATATGATATTTGAGATAACTCTTGTTTGTTCTTCAAATCTCCACAATCAAATAAATCTGCATAGGATCATTTTCGTGCTTCATCAGATGTGTTTGCAGTTGCAGGTGTTAATTTCTTTTTATTTTATTAGCTCAACTTGTGGTAGTGCTCGCTCGTTGACTCCGCTTCTTTCACTTTATCCTCAATATGCATGCTAATCTAACGTCTTTTCTTTTTGTTTTTCGGCGCCCTATATGTATGCATCAAGCATTCCGTTTCAGGGCGACTGAATACACATAAATTTGATCAGGCTGGTTTTTCCAAATAACGTCCTTGTCGGTTTAGGAGATGGTGTTTTTTCTTAAATCATGCGTAAAGCGCTGCGTACATTTTGTTGTCATGTGTTGAGTGTTGACGAATAGCAGTTCGTACATGTTTCAGGATGATGAACGAGATAGACGACGGCGAAGGTCGCGGTCAGATTCACGTTCGCGCTCCCGCAATGAGAAGAGGTCGTCGCGTCGCAGTAAATCGCCAAAGCATAAGTACTTATTCCGACTTCATTCTTATTTTGATGACGTTTAGAGAAACATTTCTATGATGCAAACCAACTTGATTCACGTTTTGCAAATGTATGGGCGAGGTGGGTGCTGTTATTGCAAGCTATCCATTTATAGGCGTCGTCGTCGATCTACTTCTTTCTCTGGGTCTTCGGAAAGTAACAGTGGTAGCGATTCTTCTGAATCGCGTAGCAGATCACGCTCCCGAGAACGCACACCGCCGAAGAAAAGAAGAGAGAGGGAGAGGTCGTTGAGCAGGTTCGTTTACTGTATCGTTTTTTTCTTAACTGTTTCAAAGGATTAATTTCTAGAAGTTCCGAGGACAGTGAGGATGCACGCGAGAAGAGGAATTTAAAGAAACAAATCAAAGAGAAGGAACAGGCTTACGTTTCTCGGCTAACAAAATGGGAGGCTAGAGAACGCCAGAAAGCAAAGCAGTACGAGCGAGAAGAACGAAGAGAGAAAGATAGGTAGGTATCATAGTCGTTACTTGTAAAGAAACTTTTAAGAGTTCCTTCTTTAAGGAGACGAGACATCTTAAAGGAAGCAAAAAAACTGAAACATTTTCTTGAGGATTACGATGACGAAAAAGACGACCCGAAATATTACAAGTAAGCAGATGGTCTTTTACTCTTTAGCTATGCTTTTGGTGCGACAGTTTAACACAGGTTTTTGTTCCGGCTTCAAGAGTGCTTTTTTAGAAGTTCTTCGTTGTTTCAACGTAAGCGCGACTTCGAACGTGAACGTGAAGCTGACTCAAAAGACCGTTTAAGGGAACAACAGGAAATAGAAGAGCTCCGAAAGCAAATTCTCGCTGAAAATAAAGATGTTCAGGATGTGGATGAAGAGGCTCGTAGGAGACACTTTGAGAAGGCATGGACGTGATTTCCTTGTCGTTACTTTCCTTCTGATCCATCAGAGAAATGAGTAATTCTTCAGGAAGAAGCAGCGATGCGTCGTCTCCGGGAAGACAGCGGTAGTCCAAATCCACATCAACCACTTGGTCAAAGAGATGGAAACGATGACAGTTCGAGTAGTAGCGCGGATAGTGATGATGAAGACGATGACAAATCAATTGACGAGAAATCAGTTGTTGATGAAGAAGAAGATGCAAAGACACAAAAAAGCGATGCACCTCCTTCGACTGTAGCTCAGGAAGATCGTTGGCGAAGTGGTAATTTTAAGCTTTTGTGGGCGTTTCCGGAATTTCTGGAGTTGTGCCGTTTACAATTAACTTCAGAAGGTTGTATGTTTCAGTGGATGTTACATCTCAGTCAACTCCTTTGAGTGTAGCTTCACCAGTTACTATGCGTGGAGCATCCTCGAGCACTTCAATTCAAACTCTTCAGCGTCCTGAATTAAATGCAAGGCTTAATGGAGTTTTTGGTAAATTTTCAATATGCTTTTCATTCGTTGCACTTATATCCAAAACATATTTTCTAAGGAGTTGATGACGAAGAGGAAGAAGGAGGCCGTAAGCATTTGCGTCCTTTTGAAATTACACAAGAAGAAAGGATGGAAACGCTGACGACCGATGAGAAGAAACGAATGGTGAGGGATCTCATCAACAACATACCCACTACCAAAGGTGGTGATATTTTTCCCATTGACATAGTTCATTAGTCAGTTCCAGTTTTATAACAATTAGTTTTTGTTTTTATAAAAATACCAATTTTTGCAGATGAGTTGTTTGCTCACGTCATTGATTGGCGGTACGTTGATCGATCGTTGATTGAACAACGAGTTCGCCCATGGGTGGCAAAGAAAATTATGGAATTCCTTGGTATGGTGGATACCAATTCTTCCCATGTTAAATGCATGTCTCGAGAGTAAATTCTTCCATAGGTACATAGTTGCGTATAGGTCCGTTGCTTTTCAGGTGAAGAAGAGGGTGCACTTGTGGATTTCGTTTGTGAAAAAGTGGCCAGCAAAACGTCTCCTGATCGCATATTGGGTGATATTGCTATGGTGAGTCTTCAGATTTTTTCATTTTCAGTAACACGGCTGAGAGGAAGGCGAAGCGAATGACGTGTATAATGTGGTGGTAAACCTATTAGCTCTCGGGAACGGTAGTAGCATGTTCGGTCCTCATCGCAGATACCAGCGGTCCGGAGTTTTGCAAATATCTCAGCATTATTGTGGTTTTATTTCGATTGTTTCTTTTATACATAGTTTTTCTCAAAAACTTTTCAGTTCCGATTTAGTACACAACAGAGATTGTCACAGTGCTTTTTTAAAGCAGCAGCTTCTTACATGCAAAAGTACTGTTAATGGAAGCAGTAGTTTTCATTGTTATTACAATTTTGATCTGTCTATGTCCAGAGCAAGTATTTCATAGATTTCTACTCCGTCGTAAAGATATCGTTGAACCAACGTGATTTTTTAAGGGCGATTTCTCCACGTAGATAGTTTTATATCAAAAGTTTTCTGGTTAAGCCATTGTGGTTCCCTGGAATTCCGAGGACATCCTGGTCAAAGTCTACCCCAGGTCGTAACCACGACAGACAGTCGCAACTGTAGTGGATCAGAGGGAGATTTACCACCGTGCGACTTTGATACCAAGACGGTGGTGGATCTTGGTATTGATATACTCTTAGCTGGGCTTACTGATGGAAAAGCCGAACTCCTTCTTAGATTGGGAGACCCTGCCGGGGGACGAATCCCCCGCTGTACATCGCAGTCTGACACCCAAGAACACCTCTCAACCACGATGAGGCGGAAAACCGTTGGGAGGTAGGTGTTATGGAAGAAGGCAAAAAGATAAAGCGTTTGGCACTGGAGGTGATTAGGTGCTTATTTTGCGTGGACAGTGAATTGTGAGGATCTGTATATTATGTTAGTGTTTTATCCTTCTAGACAAGTCTGGTAGCAATTTGCTGCTTCCCGTGATCTACAGGTTTTAGTCTGGCATGATCGATTGAGCCAACTACCATATCGCACCTGTAACTACTGCGTTAAGCGTGCCATTCCCTTAAGATTTGTAATGAGTTTGTTCGGTAGAGACATAAAAAGGATAGAACTTTCGGCTTTGATCAATTCCTGAACGATACACCACGAATTCGACTTTATTGAGCATCGTTGGAGGTGACTGAAGGCATATCTGGCCTTTACAATGACTCGCGGTGACCTACCGATGTGTCGAAGCAGTGGTGTTGTCATCCTAGAAGGCTCTTGTACAGTTATGTCGACTTCGTAGTGATGGAGAATTTGGTGAGCTTGGCGCGCCGGTCGAACCCATGTGTATTGCAGAGCACTTCTAACCACTACACTACATGCGCAGGCAGAGGCAAGTGTAAGGAAAAATTTTAAAATGTTTTTAAACAGTTTATAATCATCAATGGTTCGTTTTATCTAAACTAATTAACGTACCAATCAACGTAAAATGAACGTCTAAAAGTTGTTGTGAAATCAGTGCAGGTTTTTTCCGGTACTATAGTTTTGATGTGGTACATTTTCATTCCTCAATATCGATCGGCCACGGATCTCCCTCAGATGAGGGATCTCGAGTCGGTTAGTCGCCAGGCTACGTGGCGCGTCCCAGGTGGCGGGTAGGAGGTTAATCGCAGACCAAAAGCGACGTTTGCTCCTGCTTTCCTGAGAGGCAGGTGGATCCAGGGGATAGACTCCCTCTTTCTGCTGCGCTGACTTGGCACATGCTTCCTGTATTTTCTAGGCGTATTCACGCATGCATGTGTGATTGCGTTCTTGCTTATGCGGTTTGTATTTTACGGATCAATTCGGCCAAAAACTTGCAATCAGGTGACTGGGAATTATATGAGAGGCGGTTAGGAGTCGCCTCCAACAAATAAGCTCCACGTTCACTCTGGGAGAGCCTGGCAAACTACCCGTGAGTGTCCCCCGCTCCCACATCCAGAGTCCAGCAAGCTATACGTGGGTATCAAAAATGCTAAACACAGTGAAAAAATGGAACTTATTCTCCCGACCTCGAAAGAGCCCACCATTTCGCAGTGTTTGGTAGGACGAGTATGGAGAGGCTGCTAAAATCTCAGGGCCAATGGAAGTTGCCTGGATTTCAGGGAACTATAGTGACGATCTGTACCTACAATGCACGTACACGTGCATCCGAGTCCTCGATAGAAAAGACTTGCTCATGCAAGCAAAAAGGATAATGCACGACGTCATCGGTCTGGCCGAGGCGAGAGGACGACAGCCTTTCAACGCCGTCTATGACACCTGCATGCGACAGTAAAGTCGGCGGCGTCGACGTTCTCGTCAACACGAGTTTGTCCATGAACAACGATTCATTCGAACAACGTACAACCCGAATCGGACATTTACGACTGAAAAGACGTGGATCAATTCCGGCTTTGACAATCTTCGTCGTTTACGCGCCCGCATCAAACTATGACGAAGAAGAAGCCAAAGCGTTCTATATGGACTTGGAGTAGTTCTACAGAGAAGACCACACATTCTTCAAGGTCATCATTGGAGATTTCAACGCCACGATTCGACCAAGAAGAACGTCACATTGGGAACCACGGATTAGAATGGAACGTACAGGGTGAGGGGCTATCTGAGTTTATCATGGCTACCAAGACCATTCATGGTAACCCTTAACGCTGGGCGTAGGAGTCTTCCAGTGGAGAGTACCATAACGAAATAGACCACATCGTAGTTAATAGAAAGTTTTGCCTAACCGATGTCGCTGTTGTTCCAAAATTCTACTCGGGATCAGACCATCGCCTCCTTCGTGCAAGTTCTATTTCTTGCGGAAAAGGGAAAAACCCGCTAAATTCAAAAACCGAAGTCTCAGAACCACCGCAAACTGGGACTTATTCAATTCATTAGTCGGTTGTTGGGAAGATGCCGTTGCGATAACATCGACAAAGAATACGATCGGCTCATTTAACATTTTCACGTTAGCGCTATGAAAGCTGAGAGTTCGAAAGTCACCGAGAGACGTTTGACTCCAGAAACACTCGAGCTGATACGCCAGCGTGGAATCGCACGAGCTGCAGACAACCGCGGACTAACGACCGAGCTTGCAAAACAGTGCAAACAGGCGATAAAAGAAGATCTTAAATAGAGAAGAGCACCAGTAATGGTCGAAGCTGCAGAGACTGGGAAAAGCATTCGCAAGGCCCACCGAAACTTCGCCAATTACAAAACCACTGCGGCGCCTGGACGGAACAGTTACAGCGTCCAGAAAGGCAATGGAGAAAGTCATTCACGAATACTACTCGGATCTCTTCGATAGCTACGTCTACCTTCCGTCATATGAAATAAAGGAGGATGGATATGTTGTACCACCGGTTCTCTCTTCCGAAATCTGACATGGCATTTCGTCGGTGAAAAATCGATCAGCACCAGGTCCGGAGAGGATAAGACCTGAAGAACCTTCCGCCAGTCCTCGTAAACACACTGGCTCGGTTCTTCTTACGTTACCTGTCTGAATGCAAGGTCCCTACTCAGTGGAAGACCAGCAAAACCGTGTTATTGTTCAAGAAGGGTGACCTACACGATATCGGTAACTATCGCCTAATCTGCTTACTGTCTGTCCTCTACAAACTTTTCACTCGGGTCATCCTAAACAGTACTGACGGAACACTGGACGAAGGACAGCCATGTGAGTAAGCAGGGTTTCGAAAAAGATTTAGTACGATGGACCACATTCACACGTTAACAAGGCTCATTGAAGTATCACGAGAGTACAAAAGACCGCTCTGTCTCACTTTCATCGATTCACAAAAGGCCTTTGATTCAACTGAGATGGAAGCAGTTATGGGAGTCCTTGATAGTCAAGGAGTCTCTACTCAGTGCATAAAGAATCTTCGTGAGCTGTGCAAAAATTTCACAACCAAGTTATCACCATTCTACAACGATATTAACATTGACGTCAAAAGAAGAGTTAGGAAGGGCGATGCCATCTTGCCAAAATTATTTACGTCCACCCTCTAGAACGTCATGCGAACATTGGAATGGGGTAATATTGGAGTGAAAATCGTTGGTCGGCAGTTGCAGCATCTTCGCTGCGCTGATGACATCGTCCTTATAACAAAAAGCATTAACCAAGGGGAACGTACGCTTGCCGACTTTGATAATGCCTGTGGAAAGATTGGTCTTTGACTAAATCTCACAAAAACGATGTTCATGAAGAACGTCAAGCGTCAACGGATTGGTTTCGCATGTCCCATTCACGCTCAACGGAACAAATATCTCCGAATGCTCCAGTTATACCTATTTAGGTCGGGAAATCAATATGATGAGCGACCTAGCTCTAGAGCTGAGCAGAACGAAACGAGCGGCTTGGGGAGCTTTCAAGAGCATCGAGGATGTAGTGAAGAGAGCAAGGAACACCCGACCCCGTGCCCATCTTTTCTACTCAACGGTACTTCCTGCCCTAACGTATGCGTCAGAAGCCTGGTCCCTGCGTAAGCAGGATGGAAGATCACTCAGCGTTATCGAACTCATAGTCGAATGGACGATGCTAGGAGTATCCCGTTCCACACAAGTAAGGGATGGGATCCGAAACACCGATCTGTATCAACAATCAAAAGTCAAGGTGCCGTTCTGTACGCCAAACAGTCGAAGATAAGGTGGACCGGGTGCGTAATGCGTATGAGTGACAACCGATGGACAAGAGCCGTTAGTTACTGGATTCCTCGGGATGTCAAACGTGCAGGAAGACCACCGACACGATGGTCAGAGTTCTTTATAAATTGTCTTGAAGAAAAATATGATGCTCGACGAGTTCTTAGAGCGAGGAGAACCCACTGGGCATCTCTTACACGCAACAGGGGAAAATGGAAGATTTATTGGGGCCCTTTCGAGTTACTCAACGATCAACGGGACTCCAGGTGATACTACAGGCTACAGGTGACAATATCGATAACTTTGTACATCTCGAATAGACGCAGTGAATTGAAATCGGATAAGTTCCGTCCGCATTTGTTTGGGCGTTTGACGAGAGCGTATGATAGAAATTTTGTATTTGTGGTTCACATAATTCTTCCTCGTCAAATGTTCACGTGAAATCGATTTATAACTGGAGACTCGATATATGAATTGAAAATTTGCTCCATAATAACTTACATATGTATGAAAATTGATCGGTTTTTTAAGCAGCGCTGCTTTATTGCCACTAATCATCGTTCCGTAATATTTTGCGTTATCAGTTTTACAGTTTGGCTTAGTCTTGGTTTGTTTTATTATTTTTATTTGTTTACCGATATCCGTATATATTAATATCCATCCAGATTCTTGATGAAGATGCCGAAGTGTTCGTCGTCAAAATGTGGAGACTTCTCATTTATGAGAGTGAGGCTAAGAAATTGGGTCTTGTAGTTCCACGTAGTAATCAGTAGAGTGAACCTAATCGATTTTGACTGTGTCTTACTTTAGTTGTTGTCTCTATGTCTTAATGTTTGTTTATAGCTGTTTTCGGCTCTATCGTACTGTCGAAGCTAAATTGCAGGTTCTCTCGGTTATGCTTAAAAAAATGTAATTAATGTAATGTTTTTTTTCTTGTACTCTTGTCATTGTTGTAAGTGAAATCTGTCTTGTATTTTAGTACTCATCCTTGTTTGATGTCCTTCAGTCACCTCACATTGCGAAATCATTCTCTATGTGTCAGCAATTTCTCATGCGTACTTATTGTTAAAAGTGGCGTTATTGTGGTGTTATGATTGTCAAATAAGCTCACATTATAGTACAAGACAACAGGGCTAAATAGAGGGAAATATTGAAGACGCCAAGTTTGCACAGTTCTTGTGTCTCAGTTCTCAATTTATCCCTTTTCATAGTGTGTCAAACCAAATCTTTTGTTAAATTAATATTAACTGAATAAATAGTTACCATAATCAGCTTTAATACTCAAGTGGGGTGTTTGAAATCCTTAAGGATTTGAGAGTCTCACGTAAAATTATTTAAGAAGTTTGACCCGTTACGACACCGTAGCCAGAAATTTGGTTGACATGGAGTACAGAATAGTTCTGTGTAATGTCCCAAACTATAGCAAAATGGTTATGCAGAGAACTGCACATAATTGATCCGCTATTTCTAGTTCTCTTGTCATGGTTAACAAAGTTTTACAGAGCTCACACAGGACTATCCCGAAATGTGTACTTTTCGTTGGGCTGTTTCTCTTGCAGAGGTAAGAAATTCGACAACTATTGGAATAGTTAAGATAGTGATTGAGTTGGTCTGGTTGGAGTGATTGGACGATTCCACCAATCAACAAAAGATGGGTACGACTAGTTATTTGTTGTTAAGACCACTTCAGTGTTTCCGAGCTTTCTTAGGTTTTGTCATCTGTTACCATTATCGCAATAAATTTCAAATGGCGTTCGCGCGAGAAAGTATTCTTGACATTTAGTGACCATCTAATGATTGTATTTATGTTCATAGTTGAAGTGATGGACTTCTGTTGCCTCGAGAACAACTAATTCAAGGATTTCAAGTTCTAAAATTGCATTGCTTCGGCAGAGTTTACAGTATTACATTTTAATATCAACACTGAGCACCATCGATGCATGAAACAGCGATCGGTGAAGACTATGGAAAGGTGAACTCTATGAAGTTTTTTTTTCTAGAGTGAAGCTTGTGTGTCTTTTGAGTCATTGTTTCGACGTGCCTTACAATGTCTACCTAGCGAAGATGTGGAAAAGCAACGCAGATTTCATTTTCGCGAAGATAGTCTGGCATGTGTTTTATCACGAATTCTTATCAGGTACGGAGAAAGTATGAAATCTGGTGAATGGTCTATTATTACCCTATTAATGCACAGTGAGAATCTTTCTTCACGCCTAGAATTTACAAATTACTCGGACACCTGGGTGGCTCGTCTTCACTAGTGCGGGCTCCAGCGTATTTCCCACTTTTTCGGGATTTTGTTAGCTCGGCCACTGTGGTTCCTTGGAGTGCAGAGGTCAGTCTAGCCAAGGTCTGCCCCAATCGTCACCACCTAAAGCAGTCGCCGCCCTTGTAGGTCACAGGAAGATTTGCAATCATGTGACTAGTTTGATACCAGGACGGGGGTGGATCCTGGTATTGGTTTGCTCTTGACTGGACTTCGTGGTGGAAACACCGGACTTCTCAGCATGGTGGACCCTGCTATGGGGTTAGGAGGAGAGAGAGGACTTACAAGTTATTATCTTTTTTCTCAAAAGGAAACTAGAAAGGGCTGTTTTAAATGCTTATGAGTGGATTGCTTATATCATCGGATTGGCGGTTCGTTCTTCCAAAAAGTTTTCCATTGATTACAGTTCTTCTGTGCTATTTGAATTTTTTACTAAATTTATGAAATCGGGAAACAACATGAAGATGACTTGGCTTCAAAATAGCAAATAACGTAGAGGATATACTCATTTTCATTATTATTGTATGACCCAACATCAGATTTATTACTTTGTGTGGATTTCAGTACTTCTACTCGATTCGTTTCTTCCCATCAGCCATCCACAGAATCCTTCGAATTTCTTTCGGACGTGGATTCGGGTGCTGCTTGAGGACTTTTTGTCTTCGTTACGAATATCGTTGAATGTTGGTCGAGTACATTCTCCTTGAAACCGTGAGATAGCCGTGCTGTGGCGTTCCCTTGTGGAGGGAGTTAAATGAACTAGTCCCGAACAAGTCTGCTACCAAGTTGCCCACCCTGGAAGGATGAGGGGCTTGGTGAACTCGGGACGGGTTTGAACAACCGCATGAAGTAGTTGGGTCCTCCACGTAGTGAACGCTATGACTATCACTGTGCTACCCGCTACGTAGGGAGAATACATTTAGTAAGAAAAATTGGTTTAGATATGTGCACAGTATGGGATAATCAAGTATTTAGGCAGATGGCTAGAACATGCTGCCAATTGCCATGGCACACGATTGCGATTGAACGATCAGAACGAGGAAAACCGTATCTCTATACGCCAAAATCTCACTTGAAATTCAATGTGTCTCATCAAGGTGATCTTGTCGTACTGGCGAGCAGCGAAAGCGAGGATATAGGTGAACAATCCCTCGTTTCCTTGTATCCTAATTATAAGTATTACTCATGGGCGAGAAATAAAGGCATTCATTTTCAAAACTGATATTCTCAAAGCGATACTTGTACTGTAGGTGTGTCTTTTAGTAGTACTGTGCCTGTCGTGATAGATCTATATCCATTCCACAAAAGTGGTTTTTTTTCTAATTGTTGCTGAAATGTTTCTATCCGATTAACCTTATCCGGCATCAAGTGTGGCAGCGATAAAAGGTCGCCAGTTTTTGGTTCTAAAACACACTATCTTTGGTAGCATTTAGTATTACAGTCTTAGGGAGTAGTAGATTTTGGTAAGTTGAGTTATTTTGTGTTGTTCTAGTTCAAGAACATTAAGGAGTGGACGTTATGCGAATTGATGAAGATCGAAACACAACAGCACAAGCGCATATTGAGAGAATGGCGAGTTTGTTTTCTGACGGAGAACTTCAGATGATGCGTCGTGCCACCACTGAAAGAGAGAAGTCGGTTCTTCTGAGGTGTTCGATTAGAAATCTTTAGGCTAGATAGCACTTGATCACAAATCAGAATTTTAGTTGAACTTTAATAATGAGCGCGCTGAAAAATAGAATAGAGATAATACTGAACCTGTATTTACCGCCCATAATTTTTTACGGCACGGTACTCCAGCCGGGTCCCGAACCTGTGATTATCCTTTCGGAGGGCTGACGTGTTATCCACTGAATTGCCAAGCTCCTAGCTTTGCTTTTATCCCAGCCAATTTTTACGTGCTCTCAGCGGTCACCCATCAACAGCAATGGTCTTGTGGGCACAAATCGGCATTAAACTCAAATGGGAGAAAGACAAATCAAGTGCCTTGGTAGTGCAATGGATAACACGAGAGCTCCCGGTAATGGTAGTCATGGGTTCGAAGGTCAACCGTGGTTCCGAGTTTTGAAAATATCTCAGCGTCATTGTGGTTATATTTCACAATAATGCACTACCATGAAGAAACAGTAGATAGTAATAAAATTTAAACATTGTGTTTTCGACTGCAGTCAAAGCATAACTGTGTTCATTACCGTTTTATACTCACCAGATAATACCCGTTGACAAGTGATTCTCGTTGGTGTTAAAAATTGGCTGAGAGAAAGATTAGAGATAAGTCGTAAAGAAATTTCCGTACTATTTTAGTTCTTATAGTGTAGCCAATCCGAAACATGCTCGTTTATCCTTCGTGTTACTAAAGCTTAAGCCTGCGTTGCTGTTTAGAAAAAAAGGGATGACTTGACGGCGCACATATACTACCTAGTTTTTTGTAGTACAAAATGGATTATTTCTGCAATTTGTGAATATTTTATGAATTATTGGCGGTAGAAACTCTACTGGCCATCTTGGTAACTGTTTTTTTCGGAATTACGTACAAGTAAGTAAATTGAAAAATAGTCCATGATGCAATACCGTAGCGTTATCATTGTTCTCAGGTGGACGGCGTTCTACCGTGTATGGTGTCTGAAGGAGTCTGTACTGAAAGCCGATGGAACGGGCTTGGTGAATGATTTACGCAATTACGATTTTCACACAGGCATTGAAAAGCATTATCCTGGTAAGTGTAATTTGGCTTTTTTTCTGTCTTTAAAAGCTATAGGCTAAGGAAATCTAGAAAGGATGCTTTTAAAAATGTTCATGCTTTTACTTGTGGTCCATCCTTGTATTCAAGGCAAACTTTTGGTCTGCTTTCCGTGATTTTATGTCATAAATTTCCTCAGGGAATTTTCCTATTGTATTTCATCATGCAACTCGAGCAGGTGCCAATAAACATCTTTGATAGGAATCACAAATCAGGGTTGCCATTAGCCTTTACTGGCTTAAAAAGCTGAGAAACATATCTTTTCCCTCATGATGTTTTTCTTAAGGTTTTTTTTTGCGAAAACATAAGAATTAGTAGTTACTCTATATCAACTGTGCCATAAGTTTACTATTAGCTGGACTTACAGTTTGAAGATCAACACTGTGGAATACCGTATAGCAACGAGAAGCCAATGAACAGTTGTATCGTAAGCTTTGACGTATGTGCACTTGTTGTCCATTAAGTCGGCTTCAAGCTAAGCGGCAAATGAAGATCAGCATTAGTTCTGATTGGGATTCTGTTGTTTAGACCGCATTCAAACCTTAGCTTAGCACACATACGAAAACGCGCTCGCCAACGTGAAAAAGAATGCTATCCTATTATCATTCCTCAAAGAATCCTCTTGTACACCACAGGCACTCTAACTGACCGCTATTCCATCACGAAGATACAACTTTACTATCGATTCTTATCATTCACATCGTTATCGTCATTAAAAAAGTTATCCAATAAGGTGAAATAGCATATTTGCGAACGAAAAAGCGGGGATCAATGATAAACCCTAAGAATACTCATAATTCACAAGAAAGGTGTATTCTTGAAGGACCAGTGGCGCAATGTTGAACAACTCAATGTGGTGGCTCCTTAATTAAAAAATACATCGTACGTGTATTTGAGTTCATTGATCATTGAAGATGTCATGGACATAATCATGCAGAAAGAGAGCAACATAATTTATCCTCTGGGATAAGCAAGTGGTCAACTAAGAACTCAAGATCTTAGAGTTTGCCTTTTAAACTGAGATGTCGCTCCAGTGTTCTGTGCAGATGAGACATTTGTTGATATAAAACTACGTCGAGAATTTTTCTCATCATACAGCACTTGACCGGTGTTTTCTAAAGTATAGCCGGCACACGCAACATCTAGCCGAAATATGCTAACTATTGAAGTATAACTTCAATGATATTGAGATATTTACAAAACTCCGGAAAACCGCAGGTGTCTGCGGTGGGGAACGAACGCGCTGAGGAAGATCTGGCTCGACAGGAAGGCGAAGACGCAACGTCGAGGCGAACAACAGGCATGGACCATCGACTCGGATCACCGGCTCTGAGGAAGACGAAGACGTCGAAACGTTAGCCGAAAATAAATATATTTATCAACCTCGTGCAAGCTTATCAAGAAAGAATACATATTGAACGCGCTATTGTCCTTTCCAGGGAATAACGCGTTCACCATCGCACCATGCCGGTTCTTCGTTCCGCCTTTCTCTCAGCTAGTTCTATCGATTTCGGCCATCAGCAATCACCCGTCAGCGGGAATGATCTGGGATTGTCAGATCTAGGATCTGGGATGGGCCGGAATTTGACATTTATACAAGAAGAGGGGCGGAGCGAACCATATGGAATGAGACTCTATACGTAGGCATGGTTGAAGAGGATCACCATAAATGACTATGCAGATGAACGAAACCAGTAATAATTGTGTTGCCTGCAAGATTCTTAAACATGAACTATGTGTTCCCAAGTAGTAGACCACAACTCATTCACGCTAGCTATAAGTCTATTTCCACTTAGGCTTAATGAATATTTAAAGTCTCGTTAAATGTTTAGGTTGCTATATAACGTCAACCACATGGTATAAGCATGGAGCCAGACAACACAACTGGTTATTCGAAGAGAGTTTCATTGGTGAAAATCACTGTGTTGCTGTCGCTAGGTACATGTAATTGTTTTGGTTTTTCATAAATTCTACACAGGTTTATCCGCATCGAGGTTTATCATCTGAGGACAGATTATTGCAGAATCCTACCACTGTCATTTACGGAGAAAGACGGTGACCGAACTAAAAAAAATCTATTTTCCATGATGACGTTTGAACGATTACTAGACGGTTCTACGGTTATCAATCCCATGGAGGATGGGGCTATCAAGGAATATGAAGCGTTTATGGTAAAGCCGTCCAAACCTTTCTGAATGGAACAGAAATCTTAATCATAGTGTTCTTAACTCATCTAAATGTTCTATATTGAGAAGAGTAATAGGATGAAATCTCTTCGGAAGAAAAATTGGATAACTGTAATCGCCATATGTCGTTCCCTACGTTTTGAACGACTACCACTGCTATGTAAACGTGCTCGAAATGACTGTTACTTCCTGTACTGTTAACGGAAACGCAGCTGGTCTGCATTGAGATTGTACTCGAACTCTTTGGGAATGTTTGTACTCGAATCCGCATCACCGCTTGGTTAAGAGTCCTTACCTTCGTTCTTCCTTCCACTTCACTTTTCACAATTTTTAACTCATCATCTTTTTTATTCAAATTAGTAGAAATTTCAAAATTGTTGAGTAAGCAAGTCGTACCAATGAAGATTCTTTGAAGTGTTTTCATCAGAAACAAGACAAAGTGCTTAAACTAAAGAACAGGTCATTAGATGATCAGTCTAATGTTCCATTGTAGCTTGAAAACTTCGACACTTAATTGCAGAAATCATAAAGGAGTTATCTTGAGCAATATACTAAAGAATGCTATACTATAGCAATATGCTACACTACGTTTCATACTAAACGTGTCCATCGATAAAACTAATTAGGCTTGTTTGATGAGAGGTTTGGTCTGACCGAACTAATCCATTGAACAGAGGCCCGTTCAAGAATATAATTTCATCAAGTTCCTTAAATATAGGACACTATTTCTTCTCTATTTTCGATTTTTGTCCTTGCGTTACTACCACGACGACAAGTCATAAACAAACTATGGACTAATGTTACCTTGCTATATTTGACTCATAACCTTCTGAGTAAATGTTGGTTTAATAAAATTCTTAACTATTATCCGACACCTAAAAGGTTACAATAGTTATAAAGGATAGGAAAGGATAAAGCTCCCGGCGTTGATCAATTTCTGAGGAATGTTTCATGCATTCGACTTCGTTAAGCACCGTTAGAGATGATTGAATGCATATCTGGCATTTAGAATGATTCGCTGTAGCCCGGCGATGTATCGAGTCAATGCTACTACCACCTCAGAGAAGTCTGGTAGCAATTTCCCGACCCCGGAGGGATAGAAGGCTTTGTGAGTCTGAGGCGATGGGATGGATCCCATGTACATTGCGGGGCGCCTCCAACCACTGTGTTACACGCTCCCCTTACAATGGTTATACAATTTCTAACACCAGCGATTTTGGGATCTTTATGCTTGTCGTTAATATTTTCAGAAACAAACAAATAACTGAAAACTTTACCAAATTGTAATTTTTTAAGAAATAATCTAAATACGATCAAACAAATTTAAATTACAACGCAATGAAAGCATCACTTAATGTACACTTTTCTTTATCGAAACCTTACTCAGCTCGCAAATGAGATCCCATATTGGTTCACCTCTTTTCGAACATGCTACTCCATAATATGGATTAAGCGTAGTTTTTGGCGATTTCGTAGTTGTCCTGAAGGGAGCCGGAGTTCCACTTGTTGGTATTGTTAGCGGAGGATTGACTGATGGTACCACATTTTTAGTTGTCCCTTCAGAACCGGCAGCATTAATACTTTTCCTCGTCTCCCCAGTAACACTTGACAAATTCGGAGTAATTGTCGTAATCATGCTTGATGTTGTTGCTTTCGAAGACGACGAAAATAGAGAGCTTACGTCACCTAATGAACTCATCCCCTCTGTCGATGTTATTGTGGCAAGACTTTGGTCCTGCGTATAAACATGTACTTCCGTGGACGCTGGTGAAGTTGTTTGAAGAGTAGAATCTGGTGTTATTGTGATTGTTGTTTTTCCATTCGTAGTTTCGGAAGGTTTAGAGGTTACATGTGGAATCACTATAGCTGTAGGAATTGGAAAACCATCTATAGTTGCCGTTGTTGTTAAAGGAGGTGGATTCCAATCTGGTGTAATTGTTATAAGAATTTCTGTAGTTTGAGTAACTTGTTCAGTAGTTCTCGTAGGATGCGTCAGTGAAGCTGGTATAGCGTCAGGCAAAATTGGCATTGGCTCGTTTGTTTCTGTAGTGGTTGTTGTCTTATCAGTAGCAAGAGTATTTAAGGCTGATGAAGATCGCTCTGTGTACGTTGATAGAGTTTCATGCATCGCGACAGTTGTAGGTGTTTCAGACGAATTCTCAGTTAGGGATGAAGACGAAAGTGTTGCTCCAGTTGTAGCAGTTTCTGGTGTTTCTGGTGAGGTAAATGGTGTTGGAGATGAACTTAAATGCTGTCCTTCGGAAGCTGTACCGGTACTAGCAGAAACTGACGTTTCTGGTGAGTCACCTGGATATTCTGTGTGCGGCGTGTACGTCTTTTCGGTCGCCGAGGTAGTCGTGGGAGCTAAAAATGAAAAGGTAAATGTCATTTTCTAGAACACACACAATATTTGAACTAAAACAATGAGTATATTGCAAAATCAATACCAATTTTGATATGTGCAAAGGAAAAGGAGAAAATAAGGAATTATTACCGTCCGTGGTCCACGATCCAAGACTACCCCGATGTGGCCCGTGGTAAATGGACGGTGATAGGCCAGTGACATCAAAGTTGACGCATTCACGACGTGGTCCACCTGAACATAGTAGTCAAATCAGTGCTTCTTTATCATAGCAAGTAAATCTACATTGGTACTAGCTATTCCAATGTTTTCCGCGTGGTAACAGGACATAAGGAATTTCACTAGTATACGAAATGTAGACATGAACCGAAGACCATTCCGTCGTCCACCATGTGTACTGACATGGAACAAATAAGTTTGTTACCCTCTTCTTACATCTGGGTCAATGAAAAAGCAATATTAGCCGTTGCTCATAGAGCCAATACATACGATAAAGCCTAAATTATTACATGCACCAGATTTGTTCACTAGGATGAACTGGTGCGCAACGAATGGTCCTGCAAACACGTTGTCAGAGCCTTCAACGCTAGAATAGAAAAGACCACCAGAAAGTAGTACAGTATCACGATCACCAGAATAGGAACCATGTTATGAGGTTCCTGTCCCTGATGTTTGCTCCATCAAAACTCGCTTTCTACGAAGGAACACCGTCGCTGAGCACAAACGTTCTCCATTGGAAAGTACCACAAACATATAGCATAAAAAATACTAGAACTAATATGCGAAAGTGACATGCAATAGCAAAAATAGGTCTAGTGAGAATACAAAGAAAAACAAGAAAAATATTTGTACCGGTGTTGATAGCCACCGGTACGCTGGTTACTCGGCCTTCTTGATCCTTGACGGACAACAACGTACAAAATTCATCGCTGGGTGGTACTGATGAAGTGAGAAACAGTTCACCTGAATGAAAAAAAAGGCGATTGGATGCTATCCAGGCCAAGACGCTAAGGAATGATTGATTCCCAGCTTTATCAATACAACACATTTAATCGAAATCAGTAGAGCTCTACGTGAGACATTCTTTTGGGATTTGTGGTTTGTGGTTATATTGACGAAACTATAAATTTTTTGAGTAGTACGAGACCCAAGGAGACGAATTCAAGTGAGTAAAAGTGGATTTCGATTTTGATTCTTGAAAATCGGTTACCGACGTTTTAAGTAAGATTCAATGTGTAGTACCGCCTCAGTGCAATACTCGACATCTTTTCTCGCAAGTTTTATATACAGATTATATATATATATATATATATATATATATACATAAGCATATACAATGTAAACTGCTTGTTCTACCTGTATTGGGGTCGACAGCAAAAGTTTTTTCGTTGTCTGGAGAGAAAAGCGAGTAAGTCAGATTGGAGGAATTCACTGAGTGAGCGGATATCACTGCGAACGGATATCCAGGTTGTGGCCACGAGCTGGGAAATATCTTAAAGCAGTGGATTTAAAATTTAAGAAAAAAAAACACGCCGCACCAGATCAGCCGCACAGCGTCCGCAGTATTAACTCGAGGACTTGTAAAGAAAAAAACCGCGATTTTCTAAGAGAAGCTGTTCATTATGCAAATAAAGATTTATATATTAAGGTTTATCCTTTGATGTTACAAAGGTGCTTGACTAAGTGGATGGCCTGTCAATTTGGCTCTTCCAGGCTCTGAGAGCGAAATCGTCGAAATTTCAGTAGTATTTTACTGAAATTTTGCTGCCAACGACCTCGCGGAATGTGATAAAATTTTCCTCACTTTCCTCTGTGGGCTTCCAATACAAAATATCCAATCTCGTATCAATAACTAAAGATTGGTATAGAAAGGATTCACCAAAAATATATGATCGTCACATTCTCTTGGTGGTGCTATTTCTACCATACTACTTGGATACTTGCATAGTCTGTTCTCCCTGGTTGTGCTGGCGCCAAAATAATCTCCACTTTTTCGGAGTTTAGCTGGCTTAGCCATTGTGATTTCTGGCAGTCCTAAAGTCAGTCAGGCCAAAGTCTGCCCCAAGTCATCAACACCACAGGCAGTCGCCGCTGTTGTGGATCAGAAGGAGATTTGGGCGACTAGTTTGATAACGAGACGGTGGTGGATCTCGGTATTAGTTTACTCTTGGCTGGGCTTCCCGATGGAAACGCCAGACTGTTTCTCGGCATGGGAGACCTTGCCAGGGGATGAATTCCTACGCTGTACATCGCAGACCGGCACCCAGAAACACCTAGGCAAGAAGCGCCGGTAAACCGTTGGAAGGGATTTCTATTATAATAAATCGAAGTCACCATCGGACTGTTACTGCATTTATACTAGGATTTTGAGAAATTTATCAGTCAAATGGCACTGATAAGGCTAATGGTGGTCAAGCTAGCATGCTTGCCTGTGCTCGATATGAAGTTTGATCGAAAGTTGGAGCTGTCTTTTGTGATGGTTCAGTGAATTCCATTTCGTAGACGGTATCGGACACTGGGAACGACGCTCCCGAGTCGATAAAGTTTAGCGTTGTACCCTAAAAACATTGGTAGTGGCAAAGCTTTACCTGTGCAACCTTTAATTCCACTAGTTAACGAGTAACTAGAACGAGTACTAGTGAATTCCATTTGCCTCATTGACCACTGTAAGTACTGTATGAAAACTATCCACTTACAGGACACAAGGACCAGCGAATTTTCAGTATTACGTCCATCTACACACTTTTTTCTTTTGGTAAGAAGGGAACAATGGGTGGATGGTCAAGCTCTGACGTGGGTTTATTCTACTTGGCTTCTAGATCAAAATGTCAAGCGCTTTCCCATCTTGGATGACCATGCCTGCGGACCACTCAGTCTACGAATCTCCTCCTCGACAATTTGTTATCCAAAATCACATTTTGCGATGATGAGATGGTATACCCCATTGAAGATAAATTGCCCTCCTTAGCAAACTGTGTAAAAAATATGAATGATGACCTGTTTTTGTAAACTCGAGAGCAGTGAGGAAATTATCAGATTTTTCCTACAAGTTTTAGGGAACGCAGTAGTCAAGCAATAACATTCATGTAAATAAAACCTATCAATATCACTGGAAACATACTTCCATTTGCTCTTCAGTCCATGTGACTGGCGTTAGGACTCGAGATCGCGCGCCACGTTGGTCAGCGACACGAGTCAATCGATAATCGGCGGGAATCGGTGGTAATTTGAAACTGCCCCAAAGAGCTCCAGTGAGGCCGGGAGACAGTCTGAATTGAAGGGATTTCAGAGAACTAATATTAATAATAAACGAGCTTCCATAATTTAGTGCGAAGAATCGGAATACGTTCGAACATTCTCAATGAAGATATGATTAAAATATTCGCACTTAGCGAATATCTTTCAGATACAACCGAAGGACCAAGTAATCATGACTGAGTGTAGAAACGGAATGTAAATAGTACGCTTACAAATTACGGAAGGAAGCAAGAATCGTGATTGTCCTCTTGTCACTCGTCGATTTCACAGTACTCTAAACTTGTTATGTAAAAACATTGTAATTGAAACTAAAATGGTTATGACATCAACTAGCAGCTTCTCCTACAGTTTACTTTAATGGTGAAAATCAATAAATCAATAATTGCAGGATGTCTTACTGCAACATATTGTAACGGTATGACGTTGACAATGCTACCAATGTCGGGCCGATAAAAGAATGTGGGCTCGGGATCGGTTAAAGACGAGACGATGAAGCCATCTACAAGCGAATTTAGAATAGTTGGTCAAATTCTCCAGAATATAGTATGTTTCTATTGCCATCAACTTAGATCACATAAGTGTTTACCGCTTTCCGAAGCAGCAACTTTGATGACGTAGACGTGCTCGTCCTCCACGGCTGTCAATTGACCATCCACTGTAAGGATTACCGACATGTTTGCGATTTTTGCCTTAAGAGCGCATATTAGTACAACGAAATATAATGGAAGTAGTTTATTTTGTGGTACTTTCATTTAAAAAAAAATAAACGCTCGCCGTCTTTGGTTATAGTCGATTTTGGCTCGAAATGTAAACAATTTCTTATTCTTTCTATTTTCCCTCTCTTATAACATTGTAAGGATCTTAGCATTCCTTACATTCGATTTCTTTCCTCGCATTAATCACCAACAAATGTTTTCGGACTAGCATGGAGGTTTAGCTGCTACTTGAGGATTTCGTCTTCACATGAATATGGTTGAATGCTCGTCGAGTCGCCCCTCCCCTAGTCCCTGTTCCTTGGACTCCTGGGATAGCTCTGCTAGAGCGCTCCAAGATCTTCACTGAACACATTCACTGTTTTTTTTTGAACCAAGAAGAGGCTTTCTCGGAGAGGAAAGGATGGTGGGCAACCGAACCATGGCACGAAGAAAAAAAATCAATGTATTAAACGACGAGAAATAAAGCACTCACCGCTTGTCCAGGTGTGGTAATGTGATAAGTAATGCGTTTCGAAGAACCGGACTCGATGTTACCGACCACTGGAGACAGGGATGATGCTAAACAATACACAGAATGTTAAATAAAACGATTAAGATTGTGATTATAGCTAAAGCCCCAGCTCAACTGCGTTCATAGCCGATTTCGGCTCCCCAAATCAATTCCGCTGACGGGTGATTGCTGATGGCAGAGATCGATAGAACTAGCTGACAGAAAGGCGAAACGAAGGAATAGCGCGTTCCGCTCACGCCGTAGACACCTGCGCTCCGGAGTTTTGCAAATATCTCAGCATCATCTTAGTTGTATTTCACATGATAGCCTGCCGTTAAAAATTATAGTAGGCAGTAAATAAAAAGGCTAATATCGGGTTCGTTCTCCACCGCAGAAACCTGCGGACCGGAGTTTTGCAAATATCTCATCATCATTGAATTTATATACAGAATGGTTTTTCGAGAATCTATACTCTTGCTCAAAGGTATCACCAACACTGGCAACGTACACTGTAAGTCAAAATTATTGAAACATAGACTTGCTTAAAAAATAAGATTGCTACTAGTGATCTGCCACTCACAGAGTTCCTTGTGAAGTATGACGATCTCGATGGGATTACGATTATCGGATTCTTACCTATCTGCTTTCCATCCACTTCCATTCGTACAATTTCGAAAGGTGCTGCCCTTGATGAAGTCACCAAGTCGAAATCGGCATGAAGCACACGTACATTGTCCAGCCGGGAATAACTGAAATCATTGACAGTCGACTGGACACCAACTTTGTCAATGACCTGTTCCAAGAAATTTCTGCTAATAGACATGAAATAATATAGAGAGTCGTGGTCAGTGGTAATAATACCTGGTGTGCAGTCAACTGACGCCTAGATGTTAAACAGGAAACATGAAGCATCCTTCATGTATATTTAACGATCTGCCTTGTCTACTAGCAGAAAATGAGGAAAAATAAAAATGGGAAAGAAAACAAGGAAAAAACTTAAACACCAGCGCTCTAGATTTATTATAGTGTCCGAAGCTACTATATACTTCGAAACCGACTTTCCTTGAACCTCGGTATCACTAATCAATATGTATTCTTTCTTTGATGAGCTTACACGAGGTTGATAATGATATTTATTTATTTTCGGCTAACGTTTCGACGTCTTCGTCTTCCTCAGAGCCGATGATCCGAGTCGATGGTCCATGATTGTTGTTCGTCTCGACGTTGCAGCTTCGCCTTCGTGTTGAGTCAGGTCTTCCTCAGTGAGCCACCTTCTCGAATGAGGCGTCCTCACTCAGTGATGCCCTTTATACACGATGCTGATGGTGGATATAATGATAATGTCCGGTGGTAACAACTTGTATTTTTTCCAGACATACAATCATTGCGCACATCGTGCAGAAGTCGGTGTTTTTATCAGCTAGCACAAAGCGTAGTAATATTTCGAAAGGCGAATTTGCAACGTCGAGACGAACAACAAGCATGGACCATCGAATCGGATCATCGGCTCTGAGGAAGACGAAGACGTCGAAACGTTAGCCGAAAATAAATAAATATCATTATCAACCTCGTGTAAGCTCATCAAAGAAAGAATACATATTGGCTACTATATACAATGGAAGATTTCCTATTATTTTTACCTTTTTACGTGTTTTACAAAATGATGTTCAGAGTATGAATTTTTCGTTGGTGTGATATAAAGCGTTGTAGTGTTTCTCATTTAGGAGTCCCTACTCGTTGCCATGCATCCTAATCCATTCATAGCGTTGCAGACGTGATTGAATGTATATCTGGTTTATATAATAACCTACGAGTGCCTCTCCACTTATCAAGGCAGTGCTTTTATCCTCCCAGAGAAATACGGCACTAGTTTTCCGAACCTGGTAAGATGGAAGGTTAGCATAGAAGCGCTAGTACTCAGAATTAAACTTAATATCGTATCTCGTCGCCTGCGAGGTTTGAGCTCAGGCTGTTTCGTTACACACGTTTTTTATTGCGTTTTCTACTTTTACATCGACTTCCGCAAGTATGCGTTAATCTCTTCCATTTAGGCTTTACTGTTTCTCGTCCGCGAGTAACGTATCGTGCCTAATTCTTCGTTTGGGCGCCTAATTTCGCGTTTTCCGGCGTCTTCCGGTAGATCAAATTGTACGGTTTGCACGGCTTTTGCACGGTTTTCGCATAGCGTGACGTGTCTACCGGAATTTCGCTTTTTTTGAGATTTCATCGCTTTCGGTCCTAAATGCGCGTTTTCAATGAGACAGCATCTACCATTTGTGTATTATAAGGCTTTTTTAATAACCGCACTACTTTTCCATTTAAGTGTGATGTACTCACCCTATATTCATTATAGCAGTCATTGAAGAGAATGGTGACGTCGGCAATTTAGACACGTCTCCATTGACAAAGTGAAGAAGCTGGAAAGTCGGTACTATTTAATAAAATGTAAAGAAACGAGATGAAGGGTGAAATGAGTAAGAAAGAGATAAAGAAGCCAAGCAAGGCATAGTGATGACACACCGGGAATTTCACCAACCATATTTTCTAATGTTTAAGTATTCCCTTAAATTTTTCCTTCATTTATTGGTAGTATTTTTGTCGTGTAATGTTTGCGAAAAAAACTGAGAGAAAGGTTTTTAAAGCCAATTACGAAAAATAAATAAAAGAAAAATAAGCCTACGATAGGCAGGCCACCAAAGGCAAATTTGAATGAGAGCCCAGAAAAAATTTAGTTAAAGTCGAGAGCGGTAAGAAGTAACAAAATCCCATTAACGGATGACTGCTGATGGAATTGATCTATAGAAAACTAGCTTAGAGATAAGCAAAACGAAGGACCCGCATGATGTGGTGGTGAACGCGTTTCGCCACTGGAAAGGGTAACAGCACGTTCGTTCTCCACCGTAGACACCTGCGGTCCGGAGTTTTGCAAAAATCTCAGCACTACTGTGGTTGCATTCTGCATAATAGTATGCCATAAAAAATTGTAGTAGGCAGCAAATAAAAATGAGAGAATGTTTGGAAACTATCCATTGAAGCCAAAGAGAATTCACCAAAGTACCATACCCGAATGCTTCGTCTTGGTCGGATTTTCAATAATGGCGATTTCAGGCGCTGTTTTGATGGAAAACCGTTTTTGTGGAAACCGATTACAATCACCGCCTAAACATAGCTATTAAAAGTACTGACGAAAAGTGCTTACGCTTGGAATGATTCTGCTGATGAAGAGACCCCATAGGAAACGTTAGCAAATACGTTTAAGAGTTCTGTGCTGATTTTTTATTACTAAAAATGCATTTGTGGTTATTTGCATCCGCGCAAAACACACATACTGCAAATCAGCATTTCCGAGCAACATTTTTGCTTCCGGAGATAAAGTTCAAGGCTTCTTTGAAAGACTTTTTTCCATGGAGGCCGTAGCATGAGTAACGAGGCGCAGTACACGTGCGAACGATCGTCGCTGGTTCGACTTTAACAACGAACACTTCAAAAATTAATAATTGGTGACACTCTGAACAATAAAATCTCAGCTAGGACTCGTTTAATGTCTTTGTATCCAATAATGTTCAAAAAAACAGATATTTCAAAAAGAAAGAGATCCAAAAAGAGAATAATGAAGAAAACCAATATGTGATTTATCAGTATTAAAATCTATGGCAAAATACTCTTAAAATAATAAGTCAGTAAAAGCTCTCTAAAGTTCTCGGCGTTGATCAATCCCATAGGGATGCGCTAAGCATTCGGATACACTATGTATCGTTGGAGGTGATTAAATGCATACCTAGCCTATACAATGACTCGCGATGGCCTACCGATGTATCGAGCCAGTGCTATTATCCCCCAGACAAGTCTGCTAGCAATTTGTCGACGCTCAATGAGCCTGGGGCGCGAGGATCGATCCCATGTGTATTGCAAGACGTCTCCCACCATTGCGCTACACACGCAATAGCGTATGAACCCTCAGAAAATAAAAGTTGAGAAATAAAAGAAAGAACCCGACCTGATAGAAAGCCGTGGAAGTGAGGCGATTCTCGGTGATGATTTTTCGAGACCAGTGAACTTCAAATGAGGAACGAGGTGCAAGCACTCCCTGAAAGTGGATGAATTTCATCGATCCACTGATAGATAATTCATGATCGGCTCAATGAAAACCGAGTGAAGCTCCAAACCAAAAAATGCTTGATATGTTTGAAGAAAAAAGATACGATAAACGTTAGATTAGAGATCAACAGAAAAGCAATGGATAATTTCCCATTGTGCATCACTTTTGGCTTATAGAATTTGGTATGGATGGATTCGGTATCATATTTTAAGCACTCACGAATCCACTGATCGTATTTATCCCAGCCGACCACGATGGGCCGACGCCGAAACTTATCGGCGGCACGAACATGTCGTTACGCACGAAATCGATCGATAAATCGATATTTGTTAGCGTTGAATCCTTAAAGGAATTACAAAGTGGCGTAGATCAAGCATTTCTTATGGCAACAAAGATATTTGTAAAATTCCGGAAAGAGAGGAAGCACGACAAAGTAGGAAAAATTCCTATGCTGTTCTACAGATGCGCAAAAATTTGTTTCTATAAGTTCTAAAAGCTGTCGAAACAATAATGTTACAGACACAAAGGTTACTAAGTTTAAGGCGAAAGGTAAATACAAGGGATATAAATGAGGTGCTAGAAAAAAGCCTTGATTTTGAAAAAATCATGAAGCACATAATTTTGTGCTTAGCCTTTTTCAATTGGGCAGGCAAAATCTCTCGCCATCCAGATGTTGTTCACGTTATTTGTTTATTTCCAAAAGCGACTTTTCAAACCTGAAGACTTTCTATAAAGACGTCAATAGTGAGAGTGGAATCTTCATAAATCAGATGTGGTTCGATTAATACTGCAGCCGACATGCACTCCTGAAACTAACATTGGAAGGCAATCGATTTCATCGGAAACCCGCCTAAGACCAACCTCATCTCGATTGTCTCTGGTGGTAAGAATTTGTCCAGCATACTCATGAAGCAAACTAAACGGATCAGCGGCGCCATTCTAAAAAGAATTAAGCTATAAGGTTCCCTTACTTGTCGTTTTCTATTTCGAAATTCGCTATTTCATGACTATTCACCTTTATCTCAACATTCACTATCTTCCGTTAATTCACTAGCAGTCCAGTAATTTCGTCAAATATCTCATCTACATACTAGAAAGCTCAATTACTTATATATTCCATCTGTTTAACAACATGTTTTGTAATCGATTGATGACTGAATCCGCTTCGTCTTGTAATTTCATATAACACTAAGTGAACTAACATAAAGAAGTGATTAATCAAGTCTCACCTGTCTAGTAAGCGATTGAAGTCGATCGGCTGTCACCACTAACTGTTTAGCATCGGCGTACAGTATGCCCACGTTCTCACCTGGTGATTCCATTCGTCCTGATGTCCACTCTGTTACCGTAGCGTTCCACAGTTGCACCAGATTGTCATCTAAGAGTAGAACGGATTACGGTAGCATCACTACATCGTTAAAGCAAACACTGAAGGCTCAACGAATGAAACTACTATTTTGAAAATATTTGTATTTGATGATAGAGAAGGGACACGTGTAGCACAGTGGTCCGAAGCACCTTGCAATGCTCATGGGATTGATCTCCGCGCCGCATGCTCACCAAGCCTTCGATCCTTCCGGGGTCGGCAAATTGGTACCAGACTTGTCTGGGAGGATAGCAGCGCCGGCTCGATATATCGGTGGGCCACCACGAGTCATCGTAAAGGCCAGATATGCATTCAATCACCACCAATGAATGGCGAATATATGGCGTATTCCTCAAAAATTGGTCAACTTCGAGAACTCTTTATAATGACAGAGAAACCAGGTATAATCAGTAAAAACATAAACATTTTTTGTTTTATCGTAACAGAAAGAAGCTCTACTAACTCGAGTACTCTCGTCAGTGGGCAAATTACTAGTGAGAGCCTTTATAAAAGAAAATGAATTCTAAGTATAATAAGAGTAACTTCCATGTCCGACTTTCTATTGTGTGTGCAAAGTCTCTGTGTTCAATGTGATTGAAATTCTGGTTCAGCATTTTCTCTGTTTAGTTATGGAGGTGTTTGGCCGTGTAGATTGTAGTCAACCTGACCTTTCCAGGTTCTGAGGAAGGCGAACTCCGCCGAAACGTCAGCTTGCACGTAAATAAAGAAATAAAATAACACCTCGTGTTTGCTGAACAGAAGTAGAAAGAATTATAATAAGTGTTTTTTTTTCTTCGAGCAAAGTAAGAGAGTTCAGAGGAAGTTCGATATCATAAAAGCGGTTTTCAGATAGAAATATTTTTTAGGTGGAAACTCTAGAAACATTTCGGGAGTGCACGTTAGTAGCTACGTTAGTAAGTTAATAGTACCTTTGAGCTTTTCAGCTTCTGTTGTCGATATTGCTATTCCAAGTTCGGAGTTATCACTAATGGAGAGTAAGAACTCTTCGACCACACCACTATTAACATCCAAACGATCAATAATGCTTGGTGGAAAGATTTTCTAGAAAAAAGGAAGGATGAAAATCAGTTTATCGACAGCTTAGTCTTCTTTTTTTGGATCAGTTCCATTGATTTCACAAGAGTCAAGCACGTGGGATTTGCTATGAATTTCGATTTTCAAACATTTCTAATGAAAGCTCCTAATTACAAAAGAGCTGACTATTGTAGTGAAACTATATTGCGGTCTTCCCAACGGTTCACAGCCTCATTCGGGAGGTGTTCCAGGATGTGCGATGTGCAGCGGGGATTCATCCCGCCAGCAGAGCATTCAAGCTGGGAACGCGTCCGGTGTTACTACCAGGAAGCCCAGCTAAGAGTAAAGCAATACCAAGACCCACCACCGCCTTGGTATCAAACTTGTCGCATGTTGGCAAATCTTCCTCTGATCCACAAGGGCGGTGATTGCCTGGGGGTGGTGACGACCTGCAGCAGGCTAGGCTGACCTTCGCACTCCAGAGAGCCACAATGGTTAAACCAGTAAACTCCGAAAAAATGGAAATTATGTTGGAGCCCGCAAAACCAGTGAGGACGGGTCATCTAAGTGTCCAGTTAAGTTTATTGCGATTAATACTGAATAAGCAATTAGTAACTTAATGGAAATAAGATGTCCCACAGAAAACCATATTCCACTAGAAAATGTGGATTGAAATGAATTTAACCGATAAATCAAACTTTCAATGATACTGTGTGATAGTGTGAAAATTGTGAATTGTGCAGAATTCCGTCCTTTCATCTATGAGGACAACCTTCTTTGTTGTTTCTTCATCACTTTACACGTAGCACTACATGAACTGTAGACTTTTAACAAAGATCAGATATTGGTAGAAATAAAATCAGTAGGCAATACTCGCCTGGAGTCTTTCAATGAATTCCAAGTAGAGAGTAGCCATGCGAATACTACGCATATCAAGAGTATTCAAATTTGGGAGTACAGGATTAAAAACACCAGTGATTTTCTTGCTCACTGTTGAGATCTAAAAATTCCTGGAAGCTTCTACTGACAGAGACATGATGAGAACAGAAAACAGGGTTTTAAAAATAGAGAAAAAAATGAAAATAATACAAGGAACCTTTTTCTTCCATCTTTTCCTATCTTGAACGTTTTTCGCTTTACTACTGATATGATTTGTGTTAGTAAAAAAACTCAAAGACTACATTAACGTAGACCAGAAGGGCACATGTTAGGCTGCTGACGTTCCTTTCCCTTGACGTCATCTCATTTCTTTTGTTTTTTTTCTACTAAACGTCTTTTTCTTGAGATGAAAATCTGCCCTATTGTCATTTCATTCTTCCTAGCCATTTCTTTCTTCTTGGAATCCCATCTTACATGGTTGATGACGTCCAAAGGTCCGTAGGATTCCAGATCCTTATGACGATTATCGATTGATCGTTTTCTGTGACGAAGGATTGGACATTCACTTTCAAGAGACGACACGCATCTGGAAGAAAAGCAATTTCATCGAAGTATTCAAAAAAAGTTTCTAGTGGGGAAAGAAAGCGATTCGAAGCGGAACGTGTTCTCGGTGAGTGTCTGAGCGGTTTTTTTTACATTGTGCTCTATGTTTCATAACCTTTTTCCAGTTTTATTTTTCGTTCCATGGTTGTTCTTATTCCCCTGTGTTTCTTTAAAACTGTATTAAATTGCTTATTCTTAAAATCAATTGACTGTTGTGATTATTCTCTAAATGATTATAATTACCCATAGTATTTCACCAGAAATCCTCCAAACGGTTGGCCGCCTCAACGTGGCTTGGAGATGTTCCTGGGTGTCGGGCTGCGATATACAGCGGGTGGATTCGCCTCCCTGGCAGGGTCTCCTAAGCTGGGAATTGATATTCCACCGTCCTTATATCAAACTAGTTACATGGTGGCAAATCTCTCTCTGATCCACATGGGCGGCCACTACCTGCAGTGGCGAAGACCTGGGGCAGACCTCGGCCAGGCCGACCCCAGGAGTCCAGGGAACCACAATGGCTAAACCAGCTAAACTCCGAAAAATGGAGATTGTGCTGGAGCCTGCACAAGCAGTGAGGACGGGCCGCCCAAGTAAGTATCCAAGTATTTCACTAGAAATACTGATTTTTGTTTTAAATTTGGTAAGCGCTTGATCCAAAACGGATTAAAGAACTGAAGAATACATTAAAAACAAATGTTATCAAGTCAATTAACGGTTCAATTTCCAGATGAAAAAAATAGAAAACAAAATAATAGGCATGAAACAAAAACTAACTGCATTGCTTCACCAAGTTCGGTCAGATTAACATGCACAGTGCGACAATCGGTCAGAAGGAGAAAGAACGTGCTCAGAACTTGCAGTGACACCTGAATCAATAAATCGATAAGCGAATAAATGCAGAAAACTATGTGTTATAGAAGTTCTTTACAATATACAGGCTCAGTGCGGCAAATTCGTGTTTGTTGATTGTTGGCGTCAATTCATAAAGTAAAAGGTCCTTCCTTCTTGAATAGAATGGAAGAGAAAAAAATTGCATACGTGTATGGTTCAATGAGATGAGGTGAAAGTCGTATATAGATGATTATTGGTTCGATGTATCACGAAAGCTATTCAATCAATCAATCGCTTGAAGATTAGGCCGACAGGCCTGTCAGTATTTCTATAAAATAAGTGGTACCATGCCACTGATATTCATCAGCAATAGAGACTGTTCTTTATTAGTAAGAAAAACCTCTTATTGCACCAAAAAGTACATTTTTGATTTATAAATAAGGGATTGATATAAAAATGCTTAAAGTGGTCTCACAGACTGGAGCAATCGCTATTTCTATCCCGCGCCCAGAGTAACCAAACCTTTTCATCACTCCTGAGATGACAATTTGATTGGAAATTTCTCCGATCTAGTAGGATGAAAACATTAACTTGTAGTGTTTAACGTTTTGTTTTCTGCCTTCTATAATTTTCATGGCAGGTTACTAAGTAAGCGAAATACAACCACAACGTTGCTGAGATATTTGCAAAACTCTGGACCGCAGGTGTCTATGGTGGGGAACGAACGCGCTATTGTCCTTTCCGGGGAGTAACGCGTTCACCACCACACCATGCGGGTCCTTTGTTTCGCACGTCTCTCAGCTATTTCTATCGATCTTTTTGCCACAGCAATCACCCGTTAGCGGGGTTGATCTGGGGAGCGCAAATCGGCATAGAACCCAGTTAAGCTATGGCTGTAGTTGAAATCACAATGTTTAACGTTTGGCTGTGGCAAAAAGATCGATAGAAATAGCTGAGAGACGTGCGAAACAAAGGACCCGCATGGTGTGGTGGTGAACGCGTTACTCCCCGGAAAGGACAATAGCGCGTTCGTTCCCCACCATAGACACCTGCGGTCCAGAGTTTTGCAAATATCTCAGCAACGTTGTGGTTGTATTTCGATTAACTTGTAGGCCCAAAAAGTTATCACGTGAACTAAATAGGGTTCTAATCACCTCTACAAGCCATGAATGGTATCGAATAAATTTCACACCCTATGGAACAAATTCTTAGGCAGTTTTAACCCTGACGGTACTGTCAGCAATCAGTGAACAGGAATGGTGCGGGAAGCACAAATCGGCAATGAACTTAGTTAAGCTGAACCTACAGTCGAGGTCACAATGTTTTAAATTTTATTTACTGCAACCCCTTTCTAGCTAAAGAATAAAAAATAATATCGTAAATTTGTTTAGAACACAAGGATGCTAAGATACGAGCTAGGTACTAAGTTACGAAACTCTGAACCTCAGGTGCGCTTCGAATAAGCGATTGCCCTTTCGGGGGCTCACGTGCTATCCACCACACCAACTAAAGCCCATGCTGAGAACAAAGCAGAACAAGGACCTGGACTGGTGTAATGGATAACACGTGACTCCCGGCTATGGTAAACACGGGCTCAAAGCACACATGAGGTTCCAAATCTTGTTCGTAACTCGGCGTCTTTATGGTTATATTTTTTTTAATATAACCGACAAATCTACCGTATCGTCAAATATTCGCTTCCACGCCGATCCGCATGCAGCTGCTGATTTGTACTTTTTGCGACAATTCGAGCGAGCACCCTGAGCACAATCACACGTCACTCGCGTACTGTACGTCACCGGATACGGTCGATTCGAATCTGAAAACTGGAAACTAATACAAATTTCAGATAAAAACAAAGTTTTTGATGTTAATGCACATGCTGTTTCCTGATTCAAGACGGCGATGAGTTACAAACGTTTACAAAAAGAGATAGAGTGTTCCAACAAAGTCGCGATTTGTTAGCTTAACGTTATTTCTTCACGACACTATTTCGAAGCTCAAAATTTTGAAGCAAATATGCTTAAACTGTAGGTCATTGTATACTATGGTGAGGGCTTCTCAGTTCCTTCAGAACAGAAAACGAAACTTGCACATTTGCATGACTCAAAAAATCAATATGCATCAATGACACACCGTCACAGATTTTCCACTGAGTTCGTTCAGCGGTCAACGTCTTTGTTTGAGCAACAACATCGAATGACATTTGTTGAACACTATGAGAATCGTCAGCAACAAATACAAACGGCAGCGAGAAGACGTGGGCATCACAATAAGCCGATGCCGACGGAGTTGATCCCTTCCACTCAACAGCGATCCAGAATGATGCATTCACTGGGACTGAACGAGCGGAGGGCTTCTGGAAAATTGCATTTCCATTGTTTTTTGACCCTAAAACGAATTTGTTCGCAATTGCTGTCCATTTAGGCTTTAAAACAAAGCAAGCGATAGTTGAAGCATTGACTTTCGTGCAGACCGTATTCGGTTCAACTTTGGTGTATCGATTAGAAACAACGAATTGCAATGGATTACGGTAGCGCACGAGGCAAAATACGTTAAAGAAGAATCTTTGGTTACGATAATCTTTCTGCTGATGAGGATTTTATTATTTCGCTATCATCCATAAGTTATTGAAAAATCAACTGCTCAAGATATCCTCTTCTTCTATGTTGTAAAAGAGTAATCCTAAATCAAAACAAAGGCGTGAAATTCCTTTATGCCAAATATATTGACATACAAAACTCCAGTCAACAAAAAAAAACGACATTCAGTGATGGTCTCTATGAGTTCGAGAGGGTTCAATCACTTACCAAAGCCAAAAAATCGTTTTCGAAGGAATTCATGGATAACAATCCAAAAATTTTGCCGGAGACAGTGACCAAAATGCGTGTATGTGATTGATTCACGGAAGACGGTTCAAGTTCTATGTGTGGAAAAGAAATCTGAAATCCCAGACGATTATTGATTGATTAGAGGTCAAAAACAGTGAAAGTCAATAATATCATAAAATTTAGTTTTTTATTAACAAATGTATAGCGAAAGAAAGTTTTATAAAGAACAAAAGCAATGATTTAAAATTTATATCGATGCTGTCCCATAAATCACGGACCGATCGATAAGGCATTCAACGGTTGAGGATTAATAGCGCTTTAGGCATGGAACATGCTCCCAGCAATCCATTGTCATTTCCCCATCAAGAAAGCAACATCTAGTATTCAAAAAAAAAATATAGTGAGCCACAAAACATGAAGGAGATTAAACAAACCAGGTTGGCTCCTTTTAACTTCACTGTGCTTATTCCACGTTCACCAATTGTAACTAATGAACGAGTATCGATCGCAACCAAACTCACACAAAAAGAGGTGTTAACTGGAGTTATCTAAATGAAATCTTACCGTATTTCTTCATCCCCTATAATCTAACTTATTATCTGCCAGTCACTTATTGTTCATTTAGTATCTACTTTGAATTATTTACTATGAAATTGATTGATTCACGTAAACTTATCGAACTACTAAATATTTTCAATCTTAATGCATCACTTTTCTAACTGGACATCCTTAAGAACAGCCCCTATCCTTTCAACGAAAGCTTGAAGGAAGATATAAATACTCACATGCACGACTTCTGAGACAGTGCGATGATTCGGCGCTTTCGCAGTAATTTGATAGAACCCTTCGGAAAGCGGAAACGATGCAAAGTCTTCTAAAAGTTTAGCAGGAATAATTCCATATGTCACAGAATCGCCTGTATACTGCTAACATGAATCGTTTGTTTATGAAGATCTAATTTATGTTGCTATGAGTCTCACCATCTTCTTGAGAACTCACAGTTTATTTCCACTTCATGTTAATAAGTAAGATAAGGTCTACTTCAATTTGCAATAATATAGAAGCTCTACATCAGCTAATGGATACAATTTGATCCCATCATTTGCTACCATTCGCCAGATAATCAAAAATGTATCGCACAACTGACATCGCTTATCTATGATAAGCCATCTCACAGCTTCACCGCCCGCCTATAGGTAGGAAATGGAAGAAACGAAAACTGATCCTGTAACATTGACTTCCACGCTAATCATAACAAATTATTTATTACGGTCACGGTAAACTTCTAAGAGTGTTCGTAACATAGACGGAACATTTCGGTATTTGGTGTTTTTTAGCCATTTAACGAGCACATAGGGGTAGAATAGTATAGTGGTAGTGATGCCGATCATCATGAGCACAGTGCTTGTTCCATGTCGTTGAGGGTCACTGAGCCTCTCATATCGTCTGGCTCGGGAGATTGGTACAGAATTTGTCTGATAAAAAATCACTATCTGCAGTCCAATGGGAACGCTCTAGCCGGACTATCTCAGGACTCCAGCGAGAATTGACTCGACCGGCATTTTATGGCATTCTACACGAAGCGAAAATCCTTAAGCAGCAACCGAAGCCATGTAGAAAGCTGAAAAACCTTAGCGGATGATAGATGAGGGAAACAAATCGAATGTGAGAAGTGCTGGGATCCGCATAGTAGATGTAAAAACGGGTCATGTAACATGAACAAAATAAAATAACGACCATTCCCATTAGCTTCTATATGTACGCTGTTAGACGTTTCGGATCGTGTATTGTGATAGAACAGTAATCTCAAGAAAGAAAACCTCAAAAACTACTGCGCCACCTCTCTCGCACCTGTCTACGGACTGTATATCTTGCCTTCAATGCGCATTTAAATTGCACTTCAACGACACCCTGTCAGGTCGACATGGTCGCGAAACTGTTGAAATACCTCTATAGCCGTAATGGAAAAAGGAAAAGCCATAGGGTTGCATACTGTTCAGCTTCATATTGCTTCTGACAATGTCAACACCGAGAGCGGTGTTCGAGACGCTGAGTACGGCCGTATCATCCCCGTTACCAGCGCTGTAGTCGTAGGAGTCTTTCACACAAATGCTCACATTGAATTTGTTGGTGGCGCCGATGTAGTAGATTGGAATTCGTACTACTACCTTAAAATTTGCTTAGTTGAAATCGGTATACCAAAAATATCACATAGAATCAAAAATGGAACAACAAAATGTTGGTTCTTTACCACACGTGAACAATTTCAACAAAGAATCACCACTTACTTTTTCACTGGCAATAAGCTGCAGACTGCTGTTCTTCCCTTCGCGGTACTCTGAATTTTGGCCAAAAGCCAACTTCAGGTCTGTAAATATGCAAAAATAATAACATTGCATTCATCAACACAATGCTGACATTTCAATGATGATGAGATGTTTGCAAAACTCCGCGCCGCCGGTGTCTGCGGTGAGGAACGAATGCACTGCTACCCTTGTGGGACCCTAAACGCGTTCACCACCACATCATGTGGGTCATTCGTTTCGCCTGTCTCTCAGCTAGGTCTGTCGATCAGTGCCATCAGCAGTCACCCGTCAGCGGGATTGACCTGGGAAGCCCAAATCGGCAATGAACCCAGTTAAACTGAGGCTGTAGTTATAATCACAATTACAACTTATTATTTGCTACCTACTTTTTTAAGAAGAGGGTATGTTACGAAATACAAATTCAATGATGCTGAGATATGACTATTATATTACTATTACTATTATATTACTTGCCACAGCATTCACCTGTCAGCGGGATTGATCTGGGGGGTCCAAATCGGCAAAGAACCCAGTTAAGTTGAGGCCATAGCTATAATCACAATTTTAATTTATTACTTTCTGCCTGCTCTTTTTAACGGCAGGGTATTTTGCGAAATATAACTATTATAATGCTGAGATAATTGCAAAACTCTGCACAGCGTCTTCGGTGGGGAACGAAAGCGTAATTAATCTGCCATTAAAAAGAGTAGGCAGCAAATGATAAGTTAGAACAATGCTGCGAGTTCTGACGATGAATAGGGTTGTATAGTAAGGATCTTTGGTGAAATCGGATGACGTTGTAATGAAGTAAGTGGCGCCACTCGCATTGTCGTGACAGTATTTAGAGTCTTGATAAGCTTGCACGAGGTTGATAAATATATTTATTTTCGGCTTTAGCCCAAGCTTATCAAGAAAGAATGCATATTGATTAGTCACACCGAGGTTCAGGGAAAGTCGGTTTCGAAATAGTACTTAGAGTGATAACAATAACTACGCACTACAAGAAAACTCATACACTTACGATCATACTTAGTGCTGCTATTGATATAATTGATATCTGGATTAGTCGCTATGACAAAAACCGGTTGTGTGCTGTCGCTGGAGGCGAGCTTGAGTGGAGGATCAAGATGGACATTGTTACGGTAGATTATAACCTAAATCATTCAGTTTCTTTTACTAAATTTACACCGTTTTACAAATTATTTATATATTGAAAACCTCCCAACAGTTATTTACCAATCAATACTTGTGCTAACCAATCATTTGTGGAGGTGGCTTGATAATCGTTCTTAAGGACAATACACGTTAATTTGCCTTTCAATACATTTCTAAGCAGTATGTAAGCAGTATTCAGTCGTAAGATCATTTTTTCTTCTTTTTCCACGATGCGTCTTTCACATATATTGTGCAATCTCCAGCATTTTTTCCAATCGATTCGTTTCTATGCATCTATTAGACACGAAGGTATGCGAACTTTTTATACGTGGATTTGGCTGCTGCTAACGCGTTCACCACCCCACCGTGCGGGTGCTTCGTTTCGCCTGTCTTTCAATCAACTAGTTCTACAGATCTCTGCCATGTGGTGGCGAACGCGTTACTCCCCGGAAAGGACAATAGCGCGTTCGTTCCCCACCGCAGACATCTGCGGTCCGGAGTTTGGCAAACATCTCAGCATCGTTGAAGTTATATTGTTGTCTTCTTCATAAAAAACGCTGAATACTGCTTGAGTTCATTCACCCTGAAATCTAGGAATGCTCATGCTAGGTCACTCCCATGTCTGCTCGGAATGCCATCACCAATCTTTGTTAATCAGTCAGACTCCTCCCAACAGGTATGAGTTTGTTTAGTACGGATTGACAAAAGATTGGTTGGTCTGGTTACGATCAAACCAAAGCTTTCTGCGTATTGAACGGCATCTCTACCAGTGCGCTAATTTCGACCTGTACAATTATTGCTGGTGCTCTTTTCCTGTAGTTTCACGTGAGAGGACCATATTTACAAGAGATAGAAACTAAAGGGTAAGAGATAAAGAGTTAACCGTTGTTCCATATTCGAGAGATGCGTCGCACTTCCGATTCCATTCGTAACATTGTAGCGGTATCTTAACCCTTTTATTTACTGCCTTTTTCTTTTTAATGGCAGGGTGTATTTCGAAATATAACTCGTATAACTCGTATGAAGTGCTGAGATACCTGCAAAACTCCGGACCACAGGTGTATGCAGTGCAGAACGAACACGCGCTGTTGTCCTTACAGGGGAGCAGCGCACTTCACCACTATACCATCCGAGTCACCCCATATTTCACAACATACCCTGCCATTAAGAAGAAAAAGGCAGTAAATAAAAGAGTTAAGATTATAAGTCGTATATAATGCTGAAATATTTGCAAAACTCCGGACCGCAGGTGTATGCGGTGGGGAACGAAAGCGCTATTGTCCTTTCCGTGGAGTAACGCAGTTCACCACCACACCATCCGGGTCCTTCGTTTTGCCTGTCTCTCAGCTAGTTCTATCGATCTTTTGCCATCAGCAATCACCCGTCATTAAAAAGAAAAAGGCAGTAAATAAAAGGGTTGAGATTGTGATTATAACTAAGCCTCAACTTAACTGGGTTCAATGCTTATTTGGGCTCCCCAGATCAATCCCATTGACGGGTGATTGCTGATGGCAAAAGATCAATAGAACTAGTTGAGAGACAGGCAAAACGAAGGGCCCGCATGGTGTGGTGGTGTACGCGTTAGCCCGCAAAGGGTAATAGCGCGTTCGTTCCCACCGCATACACCTACGGTCCGGAGTTTTGCAGGTATCTCAGCACTTCATACGAGTTATATTTCACAACATTTACTTATTTAAACATAATGCTTTTCCTAGAGCTCTTAGGGTTTAATGATTTAAGCGTCAGCATTCATTCAAATGTGCGTTAGCTACTTTCGCCTTCTTATTAATAAAAAACACATTTGGAAAAAAAGATGAGAGTTATTGTTGTATTGGTAAAATTGAAATAATCTTCCAAAATATGAGGAAAAGGAAGAAATCACCTCAAAACTCTTAGACTGAACGGATCCAAAAGGAAGTGCAATGACTGACGGCACAGCGGTAAGAGACGAAGTTTGAGGATTAAGTTGATTCCTAGAGAATGATTTTGACAAGTTTAAAATAATGAACCGATTTCGAAGACAAGAGAGATCGCTGTCTACGAACTCTGTTGTAGTCAATGTGTATTCTTTCATTGATGAGCTTACACCAGGTTGATGATGATATTTATCATTTCATTTTATATCATGATATTTATCATTTTTTTCTGTCGCAGTCATGTCAAGTAAATACGTTTAGCTAGTGGGAATCCTTAAACTTATTGTCTGATTGATCAACATTTGCTAATACTAAGAATAATGCGTTATCTCTATCTTTTAACAGATTCGTTGCTTCTTTCAAACTAATTGATTCATTTATGCTTGTCATTTGCTATCAGGAAGGAGTGTGAATACTAAAAAGGGTGCAATATTAGCGTTGATTCCAGACGTAGGAACTTGAATGACGTCTGTTCATTGGCGGCTTGTTAGAAATTACTACTTATTGCCACGAGGCTGCACCCTGGGCGCGCATGTTTGCTGATTGTGAAGCAGGAAATAATCTCTCTAGCAGACAAGTTTTGGGTTGTTAAAAATTTTCTGCTATGAAGAAACCTATTCTCAATTCCCAATATTTGTCCGTCATATTTTATTTCACAAATAAAAAATTCACCTTTAGATTTTAATTAAATTATAATTTTTAATTTGATTTTAATTTCTAATCTTCCTTCCAACAGTTTTCAGCCTCATCGTAGCTGGAAGGTGTCGCTGGGTGTGGCGCTGCGATGTACAGCGTGGGATTCATCCCATTGGCAGGTTGTTTTCCTGTTTGTCTCCCAAGCTGAGAAGGAGTCCAGCCTCCTCTTCATCAGGAAACTCAGCTAAGATTAAACCAATACCAAGATCCGTCGCCGTCCTGCTATCAAAATAGTCACATAATGGCAAATCTTCCTCTGATCCACAAGGTCGGCGACTGTCTGTGGTGATGACGACCTGGAGCAGACTTTAGACTGATTAGACTCGGGACTCCAGGGAAGCACAATGGTTAAACAAGCAAAACTCCGAAAAAGTGGAGATTATACCGAGGCCGCAATTCGGCGTCTACATCGTCCTTGAGCGGTCGGTTACTTTTAACATTCCTACTTTCGTTTCTGATTTCGGTTTTAACATCTCTCCCAATCAACTAGTAGGAAGATCGAGCGAAGAATTCGTCACCGAAAGCACACCTCTCTCTGATTCACATCGTGATGAAGACCTGGATACGCCCTCGCAAGATTATGTCAGGACTACAGAAGAAGATGGGATCGCATCTCCATCTCCAAGGAGTTGCTCGAAAAGAGAAGGAAACTGAAGCTTGAGAAAGGCATAGGTATTGATGGAAAATTCCTAACAAACCTTCGTTTTACCGACGACAGTACTTCTCAAGAAGTACTAGCGAAGCAGAGGTGATGATCAACGAGCCCAACGAAGCGGGGAGAAAGATCGGACTTCGCATAAACCGAAAGAAGACCCAGTTCGTGAAAAAACCATGCTGCGAAGGCGAAAAAATTGAATTGCCTCGTACGTTTACCTTGGTCGATCAATGAACATGGAAAACAACATGAAAGAGAAACTAGATAGAAGAAGGAGAGCAGCTTGCGCTACATTCGGGCCCCTCAAAGAAACCATTGACCAGCTGAAGGACGCGATAATCCGCGCTCATCTCTGATTCTACGGTCCTCCCAGCGCTCTGCTATGCTGCAGAGACATGGGCTGATACTTCAACTACGTCAAAAATGCTTCGCACTACTCACAGAGCGCTTGAGCGATGCCTTTTGAGATATAACCGGCAGTCTCAATATGTAGTCGGAATGCGAAGCTCTGACCTTCGAAATCTGTAACATCTTCGAGATCTAAGAGAATACAAATCGATAGCGAAACATAGATGGACCGGTCACATAATGAGATGAACAGACGACAGAACGAAGAGAACAGTAGAGTGGACTCCAAGAGAATGCAAACGTCGCCTTGGACGCCCACCTGCACGTTGGGCGGACGTGTTCGTAAACAAAGTTAATCAGCTGTACCCGCAGCTGCAGTTGTTTTACGGATCACGATATGAGACTCGCAAGCGCTACCATGCTCGAACAAGACCACCACCATGGACTACGACTGCGAGAGAAAGGAACGAATGGCACATGTGCCGGGGTCCGCTCAGCCCGTGAAGACGGGCCGTCCAAGTATCCAAGTAAGTAAGTTAATAAAAATTTTTAAGAAACTGATTTGCTAATTTTTTTATACTAATAACTTTTCCTTAAAAGAAAAATTGTTATAAAATTATAGAACACATGATGTATCGTGAACGTTGAGGGAATATTAAAGCCCAACTTTCAAAATTCGAAAATGGTCTGTTATGTTTCATCAGATGACATCTAATTTTTCAACCACCAATATTTTTCAGCCATCACTGGACTTCTTGGTGGCAGCGAAAGAGTTTTTCTTTTTTTTTGGAAAAAAGCGTCCATGCTTACCTCCATAATTCTCGTCTGTTGCCACAAATTAGTAATGAAACTGCCTCGTCACGCCAATTAGGAGCGTTTCCTACAAACGACACCGAATTTTCCATCTGAAATAATGACGGATAGTAAGAAATGCATGTAAAGAGTAGGAAGAGTGAGAGTAGAATGGTGATTTCCAGAACGGCGAATGCGAAAATTGAGAACTCGTACATGGAATGGGCTTTCAATAGAAATCAAAACCACTACTATAATAATGGATTTTAATAAATGGCTAAATCCAATAAGAGCAAAATTTACTTGAACACCATAACATCGTCGGCAAACGCTAATCTTAAGTAGTTTTCTAGAAATAAACCACAAAACAACGTGTTTGGAAAGAACTGTTGACCAACCAGGGCACAATAAATACTCGCTACTTGTGCCATCTCTTGTGAATTTCGGATTTTCTTGGACTACACTCTCTTCAGAACAAAGAAAAAAACCGCAGAGATGTAAGCTTTATATCTCTTGTACGCATTAAAAACATAGAGAGGATCTACATATGCATTAGTCGCATAATGCTATTAGTCAAATGCTTTCTATTTTATAATAAAAGCTAAGGATATACAAATACAAAACATCATAATAGAAAGGATGAAGCTCTCGGCGTTGATCAATCTCTTAGGGATGCGCAATGCAATCGTCTTCACTAAGCATCAACTGGAGGTGATTGAATGCATATCTGGCCATCACAATGACTCGCGGTGGCTTACTGATGTATCGAGCCAGTGCTGCTCTAATTCCAGACGGCTGATACCAATTTGCCGACTCTGGTGGGGTGGAAGGCTTGGTGGGCCAAGGGCACGGGAACCAATCTCACCGGTATCGCATTGCGCCTCCGATCATTGTGCCACACGCGATCATAATATCATAATAGGATGCAATTTTTAAGAACCATTTCACAGACAATGCACCCACCTTTTCTATAACTACAGTACCGTTCCGTGGGCGAAGCATGTTCACATGACAGCTATTCACAGCGCGAACGATCGCACTTTGCGAATCACTGTCGATCGATAACTGTAGTGGTTGTACTTCGAACTGAACTCCGTCCGAAGTTAACGAGACTCCAGGATGTGAGGCAGCCTAACGTATAAAATCCTTTAGTACAATGCAGGGAATACAATGTAATAAATGAGAATTGATAACCGACCACTGTATAGTTTCCACCTTGATCCGGAATGAAGTCATATGTGAACGTATCACCGTCGGATTTTACTGGGATTTTCATCAACTTCTCTTGATCCATTCGTTTTATCGATAACTTCACTGGAGCTGCATAGTTATTCTGTAAACTAAGAAAGTGACTGCCCATAATCTATCTATGCATAGGTCAGGTTATGAAAATACCTGTATAACTTTTCAACATCATGAGCAGAATGGAAAGGCCATGCATTTTCATTAGCGAAACTCTTTTTCATACTAATAACTGCAATTCCACCAGCTATATCACTTTTCACGCAAAACTTTATTATCTACTTTTTTAGATACTTGGATGGCGCCTCTTCAGTGATTTTGTGGGCCCGAGTATATCTTGCTGGCTTAAACGTTGTGGCTCCCTGGAGATCGGAGGTATGAAGCAGCCGCCCTTGTGAATTGGAGAGAGATTTGCCATCATGCGACTAGTTTGGTACCAGGACAGTGATGAATCGTGGTAATCGTTTACTCTTAACTAAGCTTCCGGATAAAAACGTCGAAATCCTTCTCAGATCGGAAGGGGCTGCAGGGGATTTCAACTCTCCGCTACTGGTCACAGCCCTACAGTCAGGAATAGGTCACAGACATGATGACGCGGTAAACCGTTGTGAGAAAGCTTCATTATTGGTGTTATTTAGTCGTTTGAATGCATACCACCACCAATCCGCGCTCAACAACACTTATCAATGATGAGTTAGTTGCTAGGCCACTTCTATGTGCCTCACCTTTAAGCCTCGCAACTTTCCCACGATTCTCATTGTACTCAAACCGGGTACATTTTTGACCGATGTCACGTCGACGGTATACGACGGTTCTACAGTAACGTTCCACGAGACACTGCTTTCTCCTGAAACCCGTTATTCAAAATGAAACAGATGAAAAAATATTTACCTCATTCTTTAGATTCTAGAAAAAATGCTTTGAAATTTCCCATTTGTGAACCGGTCAGCGGAACGGATGCACTATTAAAGCTGTCATAATGGATCTCTTGCTGTGCAACACCGCTAGTGGAACCATGGAACGTCCTCCTCTAATGATCAGACAGCAATCTACTGATCCGTCCTACGCTTCAAGTTGATAATCTTACAAACCTTCAAATACTCAACTGTTTAATCTGCATAGCATTTGCAAAAAATCTAAAAAAGCCGACATTTTTTTCTTAAAGTAGGAATAGAAGGAAAGGAGTTACAATCCATACCCAGTCTAGTCTGTAATGAATGAATACGCTTTATGTGCATATGAAAATGAGCCTCAAAACAAATTCAAATGAATGGCCAACAGTTGTGACTGTTAAGGTTAAAGTCCAACGTTAAAGTTGTTCAAAATCGGAGCCGACATACTGGATTTTGTAAAGCCTAAAGCACTACAATGCCGCATGGGTTACGGTAGTCGACACACAATTGTGACTACTAAGAACGGTTTTTGTTCTCTTGATGAGACAAGATGAATTCCTAACACAAGGATTATTTTACAATAGCTGTCGCTTTGGCATATTTTGCGCTCCTTAGAAGTCCTAGAAATGAGATGAGGTGACAGGAGCGTGTAGCGCAGTGGTCTGAGGGGCCCTGCAGCACACACGCGGAATCGATCCCCGCGCCCATGGCCCACCAAGCCTTTCATCCCACCGAGGTCGGCAAATTGGTACCAGACTTGTCTGGGATGATAGCACCACTGGGTTGCGACATCGGTAGGTTACCGCGAGTCATTGTAAAGGCCAGATATTCACTCAATCACCTTCAAACGATGCTTAATGAAGTTGAATGCATGGCGCATCCTTCAGGGATTGATTAACGCCGAGAGCTTTGTTCTTTATTTTATTCCTTTAAAACTGCCCGAGATGTTGAAGTCATAGGTCCACGAAGGTATAAGGAAGGCAACTAAGGTTGACAAATTACACTGAACTTTAGGCCATCATTAATTTTTTAGTCATGCAACAGAGCTCACAGCGATTGAGCTCTCAATGGTGCAGGAGCGCCAATATCAAGAATAATAGGCGATTCTAAGAACTATGAGTGTTTTCTTTTGCAAATCATTTACTACTCTAGAAGTTAACTCAATAAAAGTATTAATTAACTAACCAGAAAGCGAGTTTGAGACAACGGTGATCATGTACGGAGTGTACGATCCAATTGGCTGTGCCCACTCAATAATACCTCTAGCCGAATCGAAGTGTAAATCGTTTATGGTGGAATTTACATGATATAACGATCCTGGCTGAAATACTTTTATGGTCTCTACACTTAGAACAATCGTGAAAAAATGTCCGAATTATCAAAAAGAAGAAATAGAACCACTATCTACCATCGTCGGGAGCACAACAATGTACGGTGAACCTTCGACAGCTGTGCTTGCTTTTTGATATTCTAGGAAATGCCGATCGATCGATGGTATTATCTCTGAAACAAAAAGGACAAAATACAAAAGAAAATTTAATTCTGAGGTGTGTGGCAGTAAAATTAAGAAAAACCAGATTGGTTAGAAGCGCACAAAGATGAGGAGAGGAAGCCCTCACGGAAAACGCTTACTATATTATTATTACTATATCGTACTATATTACTATATTACTATATTACCTTCCACATGCTATAGACTCTTCGACCTAATTTTATTATCTTTTAGCTGTTTTCATTATACTATTCTAAGTCGGTGGTTTTTTCTCCTTTTAAACTAAATCAAACTAAATGAATGTAATTGACGCCAACAATAAAAATGAACGGCTTTCTGCAAGAAAATAGTCTTTGTGCGGCTCTCCGAGGGCTTTGTTTACAAAGGTAAATGGATAGCACGACAGGTTTTCCCATAAAGTAGTGGTCTGTTTCACATCATAAGGTATATGTTTTATCTATGTATTTTAGGCAAAACAAATGAAATATGATATTCGATAAATAAGGTTTGTACAGAATAATTTACCGAATACATCGCAGTTGATTCCCGTAGTGCCTTTCGGACACACACATAACGGTCCAACACAGACTCCTTTGCAGAACGACGGCGAACACGAGTCGTAGATGGTGAAGTGGATCTAAAAGAAACAAGTCCAAAACAAATTAGAACGTCTCACAGGCATTTTTACTTAAAAACTTGACTTAATCGAGATTAGAACTGACGCATAGTAAGATACACAAATGGCGAAATATGAAGTTATAGACGATTATTTCTATTCTTCACAAGCTTCGAAATGTGCCAACGAAATTTATCAGTTTCCAAGAAGATACTAAATACTGAGAAGTGGAAAATTACTAGAAAAAAGCAGCATATTTTTACTGCTGTAAAATATAGCTCTTTGTTGGTGTAACCTAGTTACCGTACTCACCGGTCTAACGTCAAAATTTGGTATTACTGAAATCGAGCCTTCTGGCGCTAAATTAAATAGATGTCGTCCTAGTGTGAGCTGCTTGGGAACTCGACACCTCACCACAGTCGAACTGATTCTCTTTCCTTTCGAATACGAAGCACCAAAGATACATGTGTATGACGAAGAAGGTGTTCTGAAGGCATTTTTGTCTTCTTGAACAAAAATCTTCTAAAATGAATATTTTTAAAACGTTGTTTTTCTGCGTTTGTAATATCAATACTATTATAGTACTAAACAGAAAAAAGATTATTATGACATAAGCACGTAAAAAAGGATAAAGCTCTCGGCGTTGATCAATCCGAGGTATGCGCCATGCATTCGACATTTTTCGGATAATGCATCCTATAAAAGGATAAAGCTCTCGGCAGTGATCATTGATGCGCCATGCATTCGACTTCATTAAGTATCGTTGGAGGTGGTCGAATGCATATCTGGCCTTTACAATGACTCGTGGTAGCCTACCGATGTATTGAGCCAGTGCTGCTATCCTCCCAGACAAGTCTGGTACCAATTTGCCGACCTCAGAGGGATGGAAGGCTTGGTGGGCCATGGGTGCGGAGAGCGACTCCACGTGTGTGTTGCAGGGCACCTCCGACCACTGCACCACACGCCACATAAGCATTTAGTTATCAAAATTTTATTAAGCCCTTACTCCTCTCAAGATTTTGAACTATCAATGATAAAATGATCCTGTCGCAGAATATTCTAATCTTTAAAAAGATATCACTTTTTTAAAATATATAGTGCGTTTTTGATAGGAAAAATGCAAGTGACAGTAATTGGCACCTTACTTTAGTTGTCCCTAAAGTAGGTTTACAGTAGTTAAATATACACTCGCTAGAGATTCATTCTGGTAGACATTCCTTTGAACAATTTTCGTCTTAACTCTACAGAATTGATATTTTAAAGTGAGGCATCAGTAAACACTTGTGCTCTTTCTTTCTTTGATACCGTAACGTATCCGATACTCAATGAAGGAGAAACCCACTCAACAATTCTCACCCCCAGTTGTCAAAAAAAAGCTCTTACCGGGGAAACTCCGTTCCAAAGACGTTTACAACGACGTTCACATCTTCACGATCGGCTGTCGACGGCATAATATACAACACGCTGCTTTTCACTTGACAATTCGCCGACCGACAAACATCACATGCAGCTCCTGACCATCCACGAGCACACGAGCATGTCCTAAATGTCTGCTGACATTCTATATCATCAATCATAAAGAAGCTTCGAACCGTCACCTAGTCTCTCGCTCGCAAACCCCGTGAGCACAGTCAAAGTCACACGATTGACATCTGGGTCCTTGGCATATAGAACAGTCCTTCAATAAATAGTACAAAAAGAACTAGCCAAACTTTTAAACACATAGAAAGAATTTGACAAAAAGTCAAAATTCTGCAAAGGAATGGCAGTGCGATATTTGAACTCCTCCTGATGAAGAAAATAACTGCACTGACCTCACCATGGTATCCTTCGAAGCAGTCGCATCTCTCCGGAGCAAGACATCGGCCATTGATCGAACAATTTCGGCATACCGGGATAGAGCACCTGAAAAATCCTCCAGACTGTAGGAAGAAAGGGTCTACGTTCACAGTGAAGAAATGCTATGGCAAAATCCGAAAGAAAACTAATTTAGAGAGAATTCTTTTGCACTATGCATTATTTGTAGAAAATCAGGAGCACATGGCTTCGTTGCAAACCCCAAACCAAAGATTCAACGCAAATGAAAAAGTGTCTTTCATCACATCAACAAAACTTATACAATATTGAGATGATATTATACAGTTACTACGTCATTAAAATGATGAATAGAACAAAGTGAAAAAAATCGTTCTCAAAACCTTTATAGCTATTGTAATTCTATTTCTTAAAGAACTTCTTACTTAATTGATTACTTGGATGGCCCTTTTTCACTGGTTGTATGGGTCCCAGCATAATTTTTTTCGGAGTTCTGCTGATTCAGTTACTGCGGTTCCTTGGGGTCCCGAGGTCAACCTGGCCAAAGTCCGCCCCCGGTCGCCACCACCACAGGCAGTCGCCGCGCCGCCTTTGTGAATTAGAAAGAGATTTGCCACCGTACGACTAGTTTGGTACCATGAAAGTGGTGGATCCTGGTATTGGTTTCTTCTTGGCTGGGCTGTCTCTGTCTGATGGAAGAGACCTTGTGCGGAGAGGAGGAGGGGGAGGGCGGTAAACCATTGGGAGGTTAATGTGCTTCAAATTTTGAAAAATTGTTGCTATAGAGCTGTCATTCTTTCGCCATTGGTCTTCTATGTAATTAAACGGCGTGACTAACTGTCACAATCACGGAAGTGGGCTCCATTCAACTATCTTCACCATTCATACCATTTAAGTCATATTTCAACTTCTTTCATATTTATCTCCTTACTTTCATTTCTTTCCCACGCACTTACTTCTTACGCACGTTTATTACGAATCCCTAAATGGACGAAGCCACTCAATGGCACAAACTCTTAAGACACCAGTCTCACCTTGATCCTTGCCAACCATTTGAACATTGGCATTTCGACGACAAGCATTGTCCATGCAGACATGAACCCTCCTCACAATCGGGTTCATCACAAAACTCACCTAAACAGTATTTTTTAAAAATAACTGTGATTAAGAGTTATTTTTAAAGAAGGGCTTACTACGAACTCACCACCCCATCCGGCATAACACTCGCATTCATTCTTCGACACACATCTACCGTGACCATGACAATCGTAACGACAAAGAGGAATTGAGCAGTCAGCTGATGACCAGCCTAATGAGCTTTATCATCTATTTCAAAGCTTTTACTTGAATATTTATCTAATTAAAAGCCTCACGATCAGTAAACCTCAATACTTCTCAATGACTTCTCATTTCAGCCAACGTAGATTTCGATAAAACAAGAAAAGCAAAAGTGTTTGGTATAACAAAAATAAAAATAGTCGGATGATCGTACCATCATGACAGACACATTTGTTCATAATATCACACACACCATTATTACTGCAATTTGACGGACAACCAATCACTATCGAGCAGTCCAAACCAACACGATTGGCTGGACACAGGCATATCCCACCTAAATGCGACACCTATTTATTCATTTAGTTCAGAAACAGAACCGTCATAATATAGTGCGTTTTTATTTACAAAATTCCTTTACCTTTTCTTACTCATCCCATAAATCCTTTTAATGGAAAGTAATAGTATTGAAACAATGAAACAATGAGACTAAAAACAAAGATGTTTGGAGGAATGAAATAAAAATAATTAACCCTACTCCATCTTTTGTTACTATCTAGACATAAATCTCATAAAATAATAAACAATGAACAATAAGCCTTCTATTCCTTCGAGGTACGCAGTCTAAGAGAATAGTGGCACTAACTTGGTACATTGAGCGACTGCAGCAATTCACTTCATAAAGATACGCATTCAATAATCTCTACAGTACTACGAATAAAGATGGATGCATGGAGCATCCGTCAAGGAATGATCAATGCTGAACGCGTTACTCCTCTACTCTCTGTTCCGTTTCCAGCAAAAGAATGAAAGTAGCGAGACTAGAACGTGTGCAAGAAGCGGTTCAGAACACCTTCATGAGGACCTCCAGCTTCTAAGTCGAATCAAAATCTTAATTGTGAGCATTCAAAAAATCATGTCGAAGATATCTAGATAAATTATCGATCGTTAGTTTCTCGCTAAACATAGCAAGAAAGACCTCATACGAATACAGTATTACTATCTGCGTTTGTCATAGAAGAGGAATCAAGTGACAACTCTGATGTGTCAGAAGAACGACTGAGGGCAACAATAATATGATCTGATTTACTCGATTATAGGAGGACTCGATGGAGGACTGAAGATGGTACAGGTGAAAATACTAAAGTAGTACTGCCAATAGTAATTGAATATATCCGCCTAACCATTGTTTCAGATCGCTAGAGTTCCATTTTTTTCCCATGCTTCATCCCAATTCCTATTAAGTGTAGGTATTAATAAAAATGCAGGTTTTCTTCTATTTTATGTTTTTGAAAAGTACGACAACATAAAAAGCTACCATAGGAGTCTACGATGACACAATAAATATTTTTGTTTTTACATAATTTTATATGACCGTCTTCATGTCTACTGTGCGGATCCCAGCATTTCTCACATTCGATTCGTTTCCTCGCATCCATTGTCCACGAAGACCTTCCAACTTTACGTGTGGCTCCGGTTGCTGTTTGTGGATTTTCGTTTCATCTCGAATATGGTGAAATGCTAGTCGAGCAAATCTCCCTGGGGACCTGAGATAACCGGGTTGGAGCGTTCCCAATTGAATTACAGAGAGTATTTTTTCCCAGACAAGTCCGGTACTGATTTCCTGACCCAAGAGGGATGACAGGCCTGGTTGGCCCGGAGCGGAAACGAACTAGCACGATGCTTATGATGACTAACATCACTACTCACTGTGCTTTCTGCCTCTGATATAATAAACAGCGTTATAAAAGTAAAAAATCGGAAAAATATGGGATAAACCTGAGATAACTCGAAACACCGACTTTCTATAAACCTCGGCATAGATAGTTGATATATTTATTTATGTGATCTTATAAACCGATCTTCTTAAGCTGACGCGAGGTTGGTACAGATCTTTGTTGTCGTTATCGTTGTTTTTGATGTTATTGATCGATGGCTGACGTTTCGGCCACTTCGCCTTCCTCAGAGCCTGGACGTATTTTATGTTAGAATACTTTTTATTATTCGGTGGAAAAGAAGGTTAAAGTGTTAATGAAGATCAAACTTTCAAACAGACGCCATATTGAACAGAAAGGCCGCTCACCGTGATGTTACGTGCGGGACTGGCCCACACGTAGTTCACGTGAGCAAGACACGCTCCGGGGTCAAAAATATCATTTTGAAATAGGGCGCCAAGTCACGCGTGATAGTGAGGCATTCGTCCTTCCAGTTCATCCTTGGATTTTTGAAATTTATCCAAAACGCCTCAAGAGTTTTGCGCGTTGATGTTTTTGATTCCTGCGCTAGGATCCGCACATTCACTTCAAAATCATCGCCGTTGTGCTTTCGTGCCCTATGCGTACCTAGAGGGGTGTTTAAACGGATTTTAGCTTTCCCATCTCGATGTTCTTTTATGCGGACACAAAGTGGTCTGTATAGCAACTATTCCCAGAATAGTTTCTATTTCTTTCTATATATTTGTATCTTTCTACTACTGTATGTTTCAGTATTAAGGATCAATTATGTTCAATGTTTCAGGCTCAATAGCGATTCAGGTTTGACTTCAGTAGCATACCAACGATGGCTTATCCGAAGGAGGCGTAATCATACATAGAACAGTTTACTACTTGCTTGCGAAACAACGAAGCTAATGACGTTTGATGTTTCAGGCAGTTAGGTACAGTCTTCTGCGGTCGAGGATCAACAATCCAGATTAACCGCGGTTGCATACGCTCGCGGCTCCCGCAGCNTAGGGCGCCAAGTCACGCGTGATAGTGAGGCATTCGTCCTTCCAGTTCATCCTTGGATTTTTGAAATTTATCCAAAACGCCTCAAGAGTTTTGCGCGTTGATGTTTTTGATTCCTGCGCTAGGATCCGCACATTCACTTCAAAATCATCGCCGTTGTGCTTTCGTGCCCTATGCGTACCTAGAGGGGTGTTTAAACGGATTTTAGCTTTCCCATCTCGATGTTCTTTTATGCGGAC